ACATTTTGTTCAATATTTTACATTACAGGTCATTTAGCTGACGCTTTTATCCAAAGCAACTTGCATTGTATTTTCAACCCACGGCTATTTACATTTTTGCCCTGGGAGCAATTAGGGGTTAGGTGTCTTGCTCAGGGACACTTCGACATGAGACTCAAACCACCAACCTTGCGGTTCCCAGCGCACCCTCTCTACTCCTGCACCACAACGAACCCAAATATTTAAGCAGTGGGTGAACTTGTAAGTTATGTTTTAACTACAGAAACACTGAGGACTGACACATTGCATTTCAACCTGAAAACCAGCAGGGGTTATCTTTTCTATCCCGAGGCCGCGACCAACAACGTTTCTCAGAACCTTGAAACAAACGGCTGCATCTCAAAAGGCAGGATTTACCAACAGCGAAAGAGTTTCTCATTAAAATCCTTGAATTTATATTAATATATGTTGAGTGTTAAAACCGGCATAAATTGATTTTCAGGCCAAGCTGAAAACATTTCTCAACCTTTCTCATTAGCATATCCAGCAGACAGAGCAGCATTAGAATTTACCTGAATTATTCACTATTCACCCCTTCAGCTCTATTTTGGCCTGTGCCCATAATAGTTGACGGATAATAATTAATACTTGCAGTGAACAACCCATTATACACTAAACATCCATTGTTCATACAAGAATATCCTACGGAGCAGCTTTAAACATGTATACATGCCTTTCTTTTTATAAAATGACATTACATGCCGGATCATCTTCACCCGGTTCTTTCGGCCGCTCGTGGTTTGAGTAATCTTCAATTTGCCGTTATAAATGTGAACTAGCTACTAAGCCAAAAGGAGCTTTTTCCCCTCCAATAGTAATTGAAACGGTGAATGCGGCGGTTGCGAGATCCCCGGTGGGCACAGAAACACCTGCGCGCCTCAGAGACTCATCAACACCCTGATTTCAGTGTTTGTTCTCAAACCGGCTCCTCCTCCCGACTCGGCTGACAGCGACACTCATTGGAACGCGGCCCTCTTCCAACGCTTAAAAAAAAAAAAAAAAAAAAAAAGGCATTGCATTCTTTCAATTTCAAAAAATATAAAATAAGTAAGACTGTAATTGATCCCGATACTCGTCGTATGGCATCAAGGCTTCTATCATGCGCCTGACTGTGCCCTTGATGGTAGAGAGTGAATTAACAAGGCAGGTATTGATCGTTTGCTGCAAGTTTCCTCTGTAGCTTTTTGATCGTGATTTGAAGGAGGGAGAGAGTCTGGGCGAGCGACGGAGAAAGGCAACGATCAATAATGTTCTGTTCAGGTTTGCTGCGCGGAGAAAGGTGACACACTGCGAGAAGGTCACAAACGGAGCGTCGGACGGATCAGAAGCCCAATGCAACGAGCTGATTGAACGTTCCTTTCTGGAGCGAGCGAGGCGCACGGGCCCGCGGCCGTGGTTGGACAGGGAGCGTCCTGCGGGTGCCTTCGAATCTCCCTGGGAACATTACATTTTGGTGCGATCGATCTCCCCCCAACGTGTCCCCCAATTTGTCCCCTTCAGTTCTGAACGACTTAAAAAAGGCATTTAGTGCATTGGCAAAGAGCTCACGCGTGGAAAAAACCTGGGCTGAATGACAGATGATGTCCAAGAGATGGAGGGCTGGTTTTAGCTCGGCTAACATCGAACACGCCATCCACTTCGCTTTTCAAGACCGACAGAAACGTTCTTCGCCGGGCCGGAAAATAATAATAATGGAAAACACAATGTTCATGTAACCACAGACAACGAAAAGGGGGGCGGGGGTTAGCAGCTTACAGCTAATTGTTTTGGTATATCGTCGCCACTCATATTGCTTTTCAGCAGACAGACAGAGTTGGCAACGAGTGAACACAGTGGACCCTTTAGCAGCCAAAAAGCTTCACGGCACAATTAGGGGAGACCAAAACGATATTCATCACACAACCCGGAGAGACAAGTAAATGCTGGATGTGTAAAAACTTTAAAAAGGGAATGAGATGTCGGTGTCGTTGCCAGCATATTGTCCGTCCCAAGTGGACGAAAAACCCAATTACAGGTCTTAAGAAGACGTCAAGTTTCCGGGTCGAATTTTTCTATTGAAAATCCATTTTTGAACGAGAATGAATGGATCAAATTGTGGTACCACTTCCTGTTTCCTGCATGATAAACCCGCAGCCACTCGACGGGTAATTACTCCTGACCTTCACAATCTGAACCCGGCCTCTGTCCCTGACACGAGTAAGACGAGAGCTTTGACATTTGCTGCACTTTGTCAATAGGTCACGAGGAAAACGCAGCAGTGGAGAGCCGGGCGTTCTGTGGACATTTATCGATCCAGGCTGTCTTTCGCGGTCAAACGTACGGATGGATGTTAGGCACGGGAGGAGGAGGAGGAGACAGAAACACTTTCCAGGAAGTACAACAGAGGGGCCTCTTTGAGAGGCGCTCGAGGTGGTGCGTGTCCATCCATCTAGCGCTGTCCGCTCAACCCGGCGAGGATGGCGAGTAATTCACTTACGTTGCACCGTGGAAGGCCATTATCTCTGGGCGGCGGGCCTGTCTGCGGGTGCGTTCCGCCATGATATCATCACGCCACTCACTTAAGTACACATCAATCCTGATTGATATCTGCCCCCGGGCAATAAGTGCTAAACCGTGACGCTTTTAGGGCCGTGCACTCTCTGCCCAGTAACAACAGCTCTCTTGATCTAATGGTCTCAGTTTAGCAAATCGAGACAGTTGAAGCTGTTCCTGTTGTAAACGCTCCCGTCTTCACATCAAATATACGGCCATTTGCAGAGCGCGTCACGTTGGCTTGACGTACCTTTAATCGCCACTAGTGAGTCCTCATGACGTCCGTTCCTTTTCTTTGCTAAAAAAAAATGAAATGCAAAGAAGTTGTCAATAAAAGGGAAACCGCAAAGGGTCTCTAACGAGGACTTAAATACGCAGATTAAGATTAAATATGTAAAGTAGAATCACAATTTACTGCAAAAGGAGGGTGACAACAGGCAGGTAGTCAGAAGAAGGCAGGTCGGGAACATGGCAACAAACGACCAGAGGCCCACCAGGTGCACTGGGGGCTGACGAGGGAACGCGGAGCAGGTGTGCCGGTCGGCGGCTTTGGTGTGTGATCGTAAAGGTGCATTTAGCCAAATGCAAAGGACAACAATAGATGTCCTTATAAGGACTAACAGGATGGACATCAACCTTTGCACTTCACACTTTGCCATAAACTTAGCAAATACTATAACTTTATTTTCCCCCCATGTTGTTTTTTTACATGATTACATGATGATGAAGTCATTTTAGTCTGGGCTGGTATTGGATGATAAATAAAGCTATTTGTATGTAGATTTCTGACCGATTTGCTCAATGTTAATTTCTACCTACCCCTCTATCACTAACTTTATTAGACATAAATCAGAAAACTACTTGCCTAAAATATAGATTCGTTCTAGCCCTTTTATCAGGAATCAGGAAACATTTATTGCCAAAATATGTCAAACATACAAGGGATTTTTCTTGGTTGGCGTGACAGTAGAAATAGTTTGACTTCATGAGCCGGCCAGCAGAAGAAAGGTGGCATTTCTTGGTGAAATGAAACCCTCAGGTAGGGCTGGGCCGTATACCGATATAAGAGTTACCTACCGTACCGTATGAATTTCAACAAACAACTGACGTTGCTCTTTGGCAAGAGCAGACACAACAAGCTAACTAGCTAACGAGCTAACACGCTAACAAGCTAAGGAGCCGGCCAGTTGCGAGCAAGTTGGCCAGCGAGCGGTGAACAGCTGTTCAGGCAGCCCGCGGCCTTTTTGGGGTCAATTAATATGTGTAATACCGCCACATACCGGCTGCTGTCAGTCTTTCTAAATACCGTGATATGGATTTTTGGCCTTCAGCCCCAAGTACACCAAACTTTCTCCACACACACACACAGATATCTGGAGCCCATCCAGCTCACAGCAGCGTTTGGCGCTCTTCTAGGACAAGTCCACCGAGACGATGACTCACAAGCAGAGAATTTACTGCTACAGGTATTCCAAGAAGGGGAAGGAGGACAACACATACGTACGACAATTGTATATCGAAGAACAAGGGGAACCGTTCGCTCTTGTAAAAGGGTTCAAAACAGAATGTTCCAGGAGCGGCGTCGCTTCTAACAAGTCCTTTCGTGTGAATTCTTTATTTGACCGTTGAATCGAGGTTCCCAGAAGATGAACTACAGCCTTGAGGAAAGAAATTAAAGTGTTCATCCTTTCTATCTGGTCTGGGCCCTACATCGCGAGGTCACAGCGACAACAGCAGGAAGAACATTTTCGATTTCCCTTTTATCTTCGAAAAAAGGTAGAAATTCTTCCCGGCAGTGACTCCTTCCGTCACCTCGCTGCCACGCCGGTCATCTCTGCGCTCAATAGATAACAGCCGTGTTTGTTGGTTGAAAGGTCTTATTTTCCCTTTTATTTGCGCAGCCGAGTTACAGCTATTTCCTTTTAAGCGTCTCTCGTAGCGGATCAGAGAAACGCAAAGGGTAGCCTGAGACGGGGGGGAAAAAGTCATTACCAGCGCCTCGGTACGTTGGAGTGAGAAAAACAAAATTAATCACACATCGGCAGGATATTAAATACTAACTATACCTGCTGGGTTTTCCATGCTTTCTATGTTCTTGAACAACCCCGGACACAATCAATGATGTTTTTCATTTAAACACTAATCACACTCTCGGTGCACCTCGTATGCTCGGGGTGTCTCGGCCCTCAAACGTTACTCAAAATGCAGCTGCGGGCGACTGGTGGTTCGTCGAAGTCGGCTCCTCCGTTCAATGCGTTTCCCCTCTCGTTAAGATGATGGCACAGGGTCTGTTTGGGATCCTAAGAAATCTATTTATGTAACGTGATAACGTGAGAAAGTGGATGTGTAGCCTCTTGCTTCGTCAAACCTTTGCGGCCGCAATATAGATCCCAGGAAGTCACCCGTCCCTTTCTCCCTCGTCTCCGCAGGAACTTCTACTACATCACCATGCTGCGCGACCCCGTGTCGCGCTACCTCAGCGAGTGGAAGCACGTGCAGCGCGGCGCCACCTGGAAAACCGCCCTCCACATGTGCGATGGCCGCGCGGCCACCGAGGACGAGCTCCCCGCCTGCTACAGCGGCGAGGACTGGACCGGCGTGCCCCTGGCCGACTTCATGAGCTGCCCCTCCAACCTCGCCAACAACCGGCAGGTGCGCATGCTGGCCGACCTCAGCCTGGTGGGCTGCTACAACATGTCGTCGGTGAGCGAGCTGGAGCGGGGCCGCGCGCTGCTCGCCAGCGCCAAGGCCAACCTTCGCAACATGGTCTTCTACGGCCTGACGGAGTTCCAGCGCAAGACGCAGTACCTGTTCGAGCGGACGTTCGGCCTGCGCTTCATCCGCGCCTTCACGCAGATCAACAGCACGCGCGCCGCCAGCGTGGGCATCAGCGAGAAGGTGCGCTGGCGCATCGAAGGCCTGAACGCCCTCGACGTGGAGCTGTACGAGTACGCCAAGGAGCTGTTCCTCCGGCGCTACCAGCACAACCGCCAGCGGCAGCACCTGGAGGAGCGCGAGAGGAGGTGGCGGGAGAGGCAGCAGAGGCAGCGGCTGCACAGGACCTACCTGGCGGCGCTGTGGCGACTAGGTGGCGGCGGCTGGTGGGGGGAGGAGGAGCAGGTGAAGCTAGAGGAGGTAGCCACGACGGAGGACTACAGCAGCCAGGTGGTGAGGTGGTGAGGAGGGATACCCGAAAAGGACGGAGCGCCGTTTGACCCCTCGCGCTTTCTGCTCCCCTCTGCTTTGACGCTAAAGAAGAAAGCTCGCGGCCTCGTGGCCTCGCGGCCGTTTGGCGGACTGCCGGATGGTGTCTTACTATTTATGATGGATGTATTTGTCATGGCAACGTTCGATATTTATTTCTCCTTTCTTATGGGACATTTTCTGCAACGCGGTTGTGACTTGTATTTTTCTTTATTGGTTGAGCCTTGAATGTTCTTTAATTTCGCTCACGGTTAAAATTTGAAAATAATTAAGTAAACGACACGAGGACGGCCAATTTTAAACGCGGTGAAAGACCCTGAGAGGACCCCTGTGTGTCGTATTTGTGACCTAGCGCCTTGTTGATCAGTGAAATCTCGTAGTGACTCTGTGGTGTTCGGCTTCGTAAGAATATCAAAGCACAAACTTGGATAAATAGTCTGCGGTGTGTGTTTCTGTTTCGTTTTGACTGACTTAAAGGCAATTTCTCGCAGGAAATCTGTTCAATAAAATTTTTAAAAATGCAGCATCTTGTGATGTTGTAAATTTGTCCTTGATGGACTCTCTCTCTCTCTCTCTCTCTCTCTCTCTCTCTCTCTCTCTCTCTCTCTCTCTCTCTGCTGACTTCTTCCTGGTCCACTCGCGGACGGACAGACAGACTCGCCTTTTCCTCCCACATCGCAGAGAGGCAGCATTGGCCTTTCCACCATTAGGGCATTGATCACGGGGCTCTTCGCTTCCAAATTGATCATCTCAAGTTCAATTGTCCATGACTCGGGCGAAAATAGATGAAACCGATTGGCTTTCTGGAAGCTACACAATGATCAGACCATCAGAACAGTAAGCGTTCTGTGAGCCCCCCCCCACACCCGACGTTTGTGTTGCTCTTGAGGAGTGTGAGGATGAGGAGATCAGTCAGGAGGGAAGGGCTGCGTCCACGGACCAAAATAGCCCCCCATCCCCAGCTGCAGCCTGTGCTCCGCTCGCACAGCGCGCATCAGAGAAAGATCAGAGTTACATGAGGCCGCCAAAGCGACGCAGAGGAGCGACACGCGCCTCAAATGTTACATCGATTCCACCTTTTTTATTGCACTTTTTATCGGCGCACCGACGGTTTTTTCCAAATTGAACCATAAATCCAGGGGGGCCACATCTGGCCTCGGGATGGAGTTCTTCTTCGCAGGTGAGAGACAAACAGGTGATCTGCTTCCTCTGCGTGCGGAGGGCGGCCCTCTGTTGACAGTGAGGATTTGTTCCGGCAGGTTTGCTCTCAGTTACGCCCCCCCCATCCACCCCCCTCCTTGGGGGAGAGTAGTTGGCAGAGGAGAGTCTCCTCACAGATCAGCAGCGGCGGAAAACTGTGAACTGCGGTTTTGTCGCGCCGTTGGGGAGACGAGCCCTGATGCACGAAAGCTCTCCCGCAAGTTCATCCAGTTTTATTCCTCTTTTCTAATTTAGAGAACTTCTAAGCTTCACTTGTAAACTTTATTCTAAAGGAGTTTCTTCTTTCAATATTACCCCCAAATTATTTTTTTTACCTACAATGGCTGTAATATGGCAACGTAAGTTCCATTTGTCAATTATCAATACAATTCGGTCGCAAATACAGAGGAAACATAAACTGTTACTGATACTTTATATGAAACTAAATACAGTTGAGGTAACACTTTACAAAACAGTCCATTTACCTACATATCTCCTTTATACTATCTCAGCACATTTCTAATGCAGTAAAAACAGGTGGTGTAGTAAAACCATAGTAAAGCACAAAGCAGGTGTAATATGATCTAAAACCTTATAAGCTTATTTTCTCTTTCAATTAAACTGACTAAACATCTGAAAAGCGTCCTGCCGGCCGGTGGGACTACAAATGGAAACCTTCTAGACTCAGCAGACAAAACATCCATCACATTGTGAGTCGTATAAATTATTCTTTGACTATGACAATTTTAGAAAGGCAACTTTAACCGGGAGTCACTTCTATTTACATATGATACGCACGTAGAGCCATTTATCGTCCCTGGAAAGTACGAAGGGATGAAACCACAGCGACCACCGACATCGCGGCCAGGCGGCGGGTCAGGCGGCGGGCGCGTCGCTGCGTCGTGCCCTGTCGATGACGGCCACTTGGATCAGCACCTTGGCCTTGGTGACGCCATAGTCCCAGTAAAAGGTCCTGAGGAAGGCCTTTCTGAACTGATCACCCGAGAGCGTGTACATCGCCAGGTTAAAAAACGTGTTGAGTGCCGCCAGAGGGCGGGAGACGATGTACGCCGCACGCACCGCGCAATCGCCGTCCCCCGCGCCGTGCCGAGTTTCGATCCACCACACGCGCAAGACGTGGTACGGGAGGAAGCACACCACGAACACCACCAGGATCAGCACGGTCACGCGGCGCGCCCGCGCCCGGGTCGGGCTGCTGGTGTAGGGCCCCTTCGCCAACGCTCTCACGATGCCGATGTAGCACAGGGACACCACCACCAGGGGGAGCAAGAAGCCGAAGGCGGTGAGCAGCCGGCTGTACCAGCACACGTCGCCCACGGGCTTAGTGCTCGCAAAGTCCAAGCAGAGGGTCTCGTTGTCGGGCCGGTACAGCGATATCACCGAAAACATGGGCCCGATTTCGGCGGCGGCAACGAACCAGACAGCTGCGCACGCGACCACGCCCCAAATCTTCCGCTGCACCCGCGCCACCCTCATGGGCTTGGCCACTATAACGTAGCGGAAGAGCGCGTGGCACGTCAGGAAGAGGACGCTCCCGTACAGGTTCAGGTGGAAGCCGGAGCGAACGAAGCGGCACATGAAGTCACCGAGCGGCCAGTTCCCGGTGCTGTAGTAGTGGACCAGGAAGGGCATGCTGAGCACGTAGAGGAGGTCGGTCAGCGCCAGGTTGACCATGATGATGCTGCTGCTCCGCCAGGGGCGCAGCTTGGTCACGTAAATGGCGATGGAGGTCACGTTGCCCACCAGGCCCACAATGAAGATGGCGCCGTAGGAGATGGGCAGGTAGTAGCGAGTCAGTTGGTCCACGACGGAGCAATTGGTGGTTTCCATGGCTGTTGAGTATGCAAAGCAAAATGACAAAATCACATGTACAGGTTTAAGCTTGGAGTGATACCTCCGTGTCTCTTTCTGGGCTTTTCTTTTAGTAGTAAAATATATATATATATATTTTTTAGGCTGCTGCCAAAAGGATTTAAACCATAGACAAATAAAATGAGCAACAATGTCTTCCCAAAAGTGAAGCCAAAACATCTTGATCCTTGATTCTTGTGTTTGTTAGCTATCGCATCACCGTACAAAAGTCTATATAGGAAACTTATTAGCAGGAATGTGGAGTCGTGTATTCCGATATTTACTCTTTTAGTTCTGTTTTGATCTCTAAGAACTGATCCACGGCCTGTTGCAATTAGACATCTGGTTCCTGGAGTTTTATCATTAGAAGAAGTTTGAAGCTGGAGGGAAACTGATTTTATTTAAATTTTCTGTGGATTTATATCTTTGTGTGACACTTTCCACATAATCTAAAGGAATCATTACATAAATAAGAATTGGTGCAGCTTTAATGTCGTATATAATATACTGAACAAATATAAAATTCATTCTTTTTCGTAAAGGATATTTTGAGCAAGACAATAACTCAATTTCTGTGATTTTCTTTGAAATGAATATACATATAATTTTGTTTGCGGAGGGCAGAATGGACTACGGGTAAATCATCATTTCCTTTCCCTGCGGCAATTGGCAATTACTGCTGGAGGAAGGGAGGCGAGCAGAATGGGAAAGAAACAAACATTCAACTCAGTGGGAACGAAGCAAACTCAGACCTATTTCACCTCAACAAACAGTCTGGTTTCGCCCCCCAAAAAAATAATAATAATGGACAAGACGGCGCCTATGGCATCCCGGCTCCATGGCAGCTTCCTGCAATGCCGTCAGTGCAATCTGCTCTCATTATAGACGTGAGATGTGCGAGGTGTCGTTTGCACGTTGCATGTGGAGTCAGATTTGAGAAGGCAGAGACTTGTCCTCATTAAAAGGAGCATATATTAGTGGGGAAACAACACTTTATCCAAAAGCTCATTTCAGGAAAATTAAAGAGAAAGGCTGAGAAATACAAGTATATAGTTTGAAAAAAAAGGTATTTTTCCACTTACTTGGAGGTACAGTGTCCTTATCACTCGCAGCCCTCAGCCGCTCTTATCGCTGTTTCCACAACGATGCCTCCTCAACGCCTCCCCCCTCTCTCCCTTGTCTCCCCCTTCCAGTCATCCACACCCAGGCGGGGGAAATCCAGCATAGTTTAATCCGAAAGCTCACTGTTGTGCGCTTCACTTTCAGCCGTGTGCACCGTCGCTTCCTCGTGTCATGCTTGAGTTGATAAAGCTCAAGGTCCGTTTTATTGACACAGATCAAGTTTCAGGTGATTTTACCGGGAAAAACAAGAGGAAGGCTGATCTTTTGCTCAACAATGTGAACTCAGGAGTTCCTAGTGAGGCTAAATTTAGACCAGACGCAGACAGTGGTTTCTGATTAAAGGACTAAAGCAATGATCTAACGTGGTAGGAATTTATTGTATTTCTTTATAAACCATTAACTTTGGAAGCCCTAAAACAGCGTGATTAAACAAAAACTATAGATCACAAGTTGATTATGCCGTTCTCCCAAAAAATGCCGGTATTTCTGTCATTTCGAGATAACAGCATCTTTAATTAGTCATCAATAGAAAACACAACAGCGTGTCCCTCTTTTTGTTTGGGATGTTGGAGTCACAGCGTTTGATAGCGAATGCGTTCAAGCACTGATGGAGCTGATGGAGCTGATGGAGCCCAGGAAAATAGTGGGATTACATCTGGTTTTCAATATAAGATCTTAACGCGCAAAATGCATCTATGCAAATGATACTAAAAGGATCAGTGCTTCTCTCAGTTCCATCAGCCGTCCCATTAAAACTACCATCTCCTTTCTCAACCATATTTACATACTTGCATTACAAAACCCCAGTTATTCATTTCAAGTGTTAATGACTTAAATGTGGTGTAAACTCCTCCATCTCCACGAGGCATCATCCTGTTGGTGTAACAGCACGTAATGTCCGGACTCAGTGTGATTGTATTGAACCGCGTTAACGTACCTCAACTCTTCCAGGTCACGTTTTGTCGTTTCCATGTCTTGAACCTGACGCGCTGTCGCCTAAAGGTCATGGTCGACATCGTTGGCTGAGTTAGAAGATCATTATATTGCTTATAAATGTAAATACTTACCTGCTGTTAACCCAGCTCCACTTCCTCTTCTACCTGAAAGTACAGAGGAGCCTGCAAATATATCTACATATCTGTTCTGCCTCCGACGTGTTGATAGTCTCTGTAATGTCGCTTTTCTGTAGATCGCAAGTCAGAAACAGTAAAAGAAAGTTTACAAATGTTTATTTTACAAAAGAAAAAAGGACTAGAAATGGTGTAAACAACTTTATATATCTAAATTGTGTTTTTTTTCCTTTAATACTGTGGGGAAGGTGCAGTCTTTGAAGCAGCAGCAGAAGCGAGTGTTTATAGTACAGATAGAAATCATCTGAGTTCAGGGAGAAATTAATGTCAAAGATCAACTCGACACATTGAAATCTGAGTGCCGAGGACGAGACGCCTCGGAGGCAGCTCGCCGGGGGATGAGGTGGGTGTGAGGAGGTGTCGTAGGAGAGGCTGGGGGAGGGCGGGGGAGGGCGGAGGGGTAAGACAGAAAGAAAGAAGCTAGCTCAGTCTACAGTTTGGGCATCCTGGCAGCGTTGAGGCGCATGGACACACAGGAGGAGCCGGCGGCGTAACGCATCTCCCTCAGCATCCCGCCCCACTGCTTCTTATCCTCCTCGTACCTGGTGGGACCGGGAGGAGAGTCAGCCAACGCGCGCGTGCCCGAAAGCGCCTTCGAGCGGGTGAGAAGACTTACTGCCAGACGTCGGTGACCTCGGTGGGGGCCACCTCGTCGCTCTCCGTCTGGACCATGGCGAAGCCGCCCACCGCGTACAGCGAGCCGCCGTTGCTCAGCAGGTTGACGGAGCTCCTCTCTTGGGGAAACTCTGTGAAGGGCTCCCACCTGAGGGGAAGATCACTTTGGTTTGTATTTTCTGTACCTCCTGTTGTTTGTTAACCACCAGTTCAAAAAAGCAAATACTGTATCTGTATACAAAAATGAATTTGAAACTAAATTAGTTTAAAAAAAAACTGGTTATCTTGATAACCACAATTAATATATTATTAAAATATTTTAAAAATCGTTTGCATAAACTCTTCATACAGTTCCTGACGTGGAGGCGCAATCCTACTTGTTTGCTGCGAAGTCGTAGGCCTCACACGAGGCGGTGAGGCCCTCCTCGTTCACTCCACCAGCGACCAGGATTTTGCCGCCGTGGACGACGGCGCCGAACATGGCCCTGGCTGTCTTCATGGCCGCCATCTCCCTCCACTCGGACTGCTTGTGGTTGTATGCAAACACCTTGTTGAGGGCTTTGCTGTGGAGATTAATTATGTATATTGTGGGAGAAAAAGACCGTTGAGGCAAATAGTGGTCGAAGACAAAAGCGCATCAAACAATTGGAAATCATTTGGAATAAACTTCTTTGTTAATGTAATTAGCAAAGCGTTTGTTTTTCTCCCAAATGACGAAAGGCGGCATTCTGGTAAATTATGATGAGAACGTCTTCCCGTGTCTTAATCATTCTGGCTAATTTCACTAATGGACCGACAATGTGTCTCAGCATGAGGCCTTTATCAGAGTCACACAGCGTCCAATCAACCGCCTGAGAGAAAAGATCCACGGCCTCAAATGAATAAGGAAAGAAAACATAATGATTACGAATAAATAATAATAATAATAAATAAATACATTAGAATAAAACAGATGAGCATTGAAGCTTTTCCTGGGCCGTGTTAATCAACAGTTTGACAGCTTATTTCAGAGGAATCATCTGCACACCACAGATGATGATAACACAATATAATTATGTGTAGAACACACACACACACACACATATATATATATATAGTCCCATCTAAGGTTGAGATATCAAAACTCCACAGTCTCAATTTATGCTAACAAATATACTGGTGGTGGTTTGTGTCATGTACGTTTCTTGGAGAGCGTCTATATTTAAATAATAGTACTTTTGTCAGTACTTGGTTTGTCTACAGATCAGCGTGTGACAATGTGCAGCTTCTGCCCCAAACCCATTTCTCAGTCTGTTTTTAGTTTGTCGTGTATTTATATATGACCCTATTCTCACCTGTTTATGTTAACATGATGAATGTAGGTTATTATCATTAAGTGCTGTGTTAAATCCTAAGGTTTCAGAACTTGTGTTGTTCATGTATCACTGCAGCGTTCGCTGCCCGTGAAGATCACAACATACGTTCAGTATTCAGACTCTTTATCTTAACAGTGGAAACCAACAAAGGTTTCACGGGAGACCACAGCGTTCCATGTTAGACAGAGCAGGACTTTAGCAGTGTAATAATTGTCTCTGAAATATCGTGCAGCTCTGGAGTCCAGCAGAATGATAGACCACCAACAGCTGCTACTCACAGCGTAGGGTTACACACACACACACACACACACACACACACACACACACACACATTTACTCACTTGTCATCCGTCTTTCCTCCGATGCAGTAGACCATTCCTTTGTGGGAGACGACGGCGTGGCCGTGGATCTTCAGAGGAAGCTTTTTGGTCTCACTCCATTTCATTTTTCTGAGTAATTGATATTTAAGAAATTATATACATATATAAACATGTGTTCAGGAAGAATTTTAAATATATATATATATTTTTTTTGTAGAGCCAACTCTTCAACTCTTCTGACTTAAATAAAGGGACGAATCGTACCAATAAACCCAAGGAAACTATAGAATAAACCGCTTGAGGGTGAGATGACATCATTAATACTTCACATGTTTAAAGGAAGGATTATTCTTTGTTCCCTGCAGTTAATTATCACCTCAGAATATCTGAGAAACAGGGTAATAAAGACAAAGGGAGGGAAACGAAGTGAACAATGCTGCTTACTCGACATCGTAGCACATCACAGTGTCCAGAGACTCGTTGGTCTGGAGGTCTTTTCCCGCCACGGCGAACAGCAGGTTGTCGCTCTCGCCGACGTTGAAGAGGCATCGGGGGGAGGGCATGGGCGGCAGGGCGGCCCATTCCGATGTGAGTGGATCCAACTGGGAAGAAAAGAACATCAAAACACTGGATTAGCGCCGTCTTTTTACCTCCTCCAAGACACCAGACATTGTTTTATCCATGAAAATATGTTTTCCTTTTACCAAAAACATTTGACGACTAGCAAGAGGAATAGGGCCTTTAACATGCGTCGTGTAAATATCTGCAAGAAGTGCATATATTTCCTAAAATATTAAACTATTTCTCCAACTATTTTTGGAACAAAGGGAGCCACATGAAGTGAAAGTTACCAGGAAGAAGTAACATTGCAGGGGTACGTCTTTGTTGTCCTCGTCCACAAACAGTCCTCCGATGACGTAGAGCTGGTTCTTCTGGGACGCCAGGCTGACGTGGTTCCGCGGCACCTGCTCCGACATGGCCGCCAGGAAGCACTCGTTCTCGCTGACGTCGTACGCCACCGCCGCCGTGTCGTTGATCATGACGATGAATTCCCGCGTGTACATGCCGTGTCTGCGGCTGTCATTCAGGAAGCCGGGGAACGGGCTTTCCTCCTCGCTTCCCTCCTCGCTCGCCCCTTCCTCCCCCTCCTCCTTCTTGGGCCTCTCTGGGAGCTTCCCCTTGAAGGCGTCCCTGATGACCTGGATCGTCTTCTGGAGCTCCGGGTCGGCCTTGATGATCTCGTTCGTCTCCACTTTGTCTTTGAAGTACTTCTCCGGCAGCAGGCGGAAGCGCACGCAGTTGAGCGCGTCTTTCAGCACCTTGACGCGCTCCTTGTCGTGGCGGACCCAGGCCATCACGGCCTCGAACACCAGCTCCTCCTTCTCCACGTTCAGCGAGTCTCCGCCGATGACGGCAAAGAGCTCGTGGGGGGCGAGCTTGAGGAACTCCTCGTTTTGGTGGAGGAGTTCGAAGCGGTCGGCGATGTAGTTGCGCGCAGCCACGGCGAGCCTGGGGCAGCTGATCACCAGGCCCATCCGGAAGATGGCCATGCAGTTGCCCAAGGACAACTTCTTCTGGAGGTAGTTGACACACACCGTGAAGACCGAGGGGATCTGGAATCTGTTGGCCACGGCAATTATGTCCTGGACGTTGTCGTCGGTGAGGTCGATCTCGGCCGAGTAGAGGTACTGGACGATCATGTCCAGGACGGAGGGGTTGACATCCTCCAGGACCACCTCCTTGGTGTTCTCCACCTCCTTGCCGTCCTCGGTGAAGAAGATCTCCCTGAAGTAGGGGCTGCAGGCGGCCATGATCAGCCGGTGGCAAGGGAAGCTGCGGTCGCCCACTTTCAGCGTGCAGTCCACAAACTTGTTCTCATTCAGCAGCTCCTTCAGCCCGTCCTGAAGCAGGGTGCTCTGGAACAGGCGCAGCTCCTCCTTGATGGCGTTGGGGTCCATGGCGTCACGAGGGGGACACGGCGGGCGAACGGAAAGGGGGTTTGTGGAGAGAGCAAGGAGACGGGGCGGCCGCAGGTCTTTTTGGCAGTTGGTCCCGGCTGGAAAAGGCAGGGCACAGGAAAGGTTCTCAGAGTGAAGACCCAGCAATTTAATGCCGGCCCACTCTAAATATAGCCGCCCGTAGCCCCCTGCCGGCTGCGGCTCAGCTGGAATCCGGCTGGGCCAAATCGCGGCGCGGGCCTCGGCTCGAGCAGCTGCTGTCACAGACTGAAAGAAGCAACTGGCCGCTCAGGCCGGGGATATGCCGCCACCATTCAGCTCCCCAGGTGTCATGTGGCCGGCAAACGGCGGAGACAATGCTGTCAAAGCCCTCAAATAGCTTGTGGCCGAGCTCTACCTATGACAGGGAGAGATATTTAGAGCCGCCTCGGCTGTGCTCAAAAGGATGTGTCACATTTATATATTTCCCATCGTATTAAAGCCAAATCAACTAGTGATTTACTCTATTTTTGTCTTTTTACTTCATGACTAATCAATAATTAAAATCCTAGGAAATGTAATCTAGGATGTTACATTTTCAACGTCTTTACTTGCTGGGCTTTTCTGGTGTAAATGTTATTATACGGCTGCAACCTCCAACACAGTCTTGTCTTTTGCGCAGCGTGGCATTATTTAAGTGAGACTGAACAGCACAAAATCATTGAGCTAAAAATGGAGCGGAAAAGTCGGGGAGCAGCAGCTGTGTGCAGAAACAGGTGAGGCCGCACACACGACCTGAGCACCAATCGGCATATAAGTGTCCGGCCGGTTGTGTGACTGTGTGAGAGTGTGTCGCTCTGCAGTTGAACCCTTTAAGACCCACCTCAATCAGTCCACGTCTCAAAGTGTTTACTCGCTGTCTTTCTTCTTAAAGATAAATGATGTCAGTGCCCAGTCACACATTACGAGTACAAAATGTACAAAAAATAAATAAAAAGACAGAACTGATGTGTCTGAATCAATAAGATATTGTATTTGTTGAGTCGTATGTCTGTGGCCTGATAAAGTGTGAGGAGTGTGTAGTGAGGTAACATTTGTCCCGTGGGCAGCACTAAAGATAGATCAGACTACTCGTGGAGAAGCGTCTAACATGTCATTTAAGCAGAAAGGGAGAACCCATTTCTGCCTAAAAAACCTCTCACGCGTCCCCGAAGCCGCAGCAGATGACAGAGAAACCACACAGTCAACTGGAAGAGGAGACTCTTCTGTGATTAAACACAACAATCATGGTCTCATTATTGACATTTACTACCAAAATTGCATTTCATGGTAGAAAAGGCCTCAAAACGCCCAAATGATCTGACATGGTGGACCTGTTTGGGACTCATCTAGACCTCTAACCACGGCACACAGACTGGATATCTGCTGTTAGCTTCGTGCACCTACATACATAGTTAGTTAGTTACGTGCTTTCCTACACCATGAAGCGCGTTAAAACGGACGCATTTAGTCGCCGGCTGTAGTTCGCTGGCTTCTTCCCCCGTGTTTCTCATGCTAACGTTACGCTGGAGGTCAAGTTGAGGGGGAATGACGGGACGCTGTGGAATTTGTGCCTAATGTGTTTTCATTGTTGTGGAATATTTAGGGGATGTATGGAAATGATTGGGTTGGAGAGGACGGGTCAGATGTCTTACACAAGACCCTCCCAAGCCATATTTTCTTTGGACCCTCTATTGACAAACACCCTATCGCATCGATTCCTTAGATACTGAAAACACAACGCCTTTTACCATCAATGATTTAAGAGTAAACATGCAGAAGAAAATATCTCTTAAGCAAAAATTAATTATTTCTCATTCGCTCCAGCACAAGTGTGGGATTAGCATTCGCTACAATAAAAACCTAAATCGGGCTGGTAGAATTTAAGGAAATCAAATGATGGCCTCCATTTCCCCAAAACTCCAATCACAGCCAATCCAATCCAGCCGTCATGTCGCCCATAAACTGAAACGCATGCGCAGAACAAATTAAACAGATGAAAAACATTTTAAACCATAACACAACATGTTTCCTATTCCAAATGCATTAAAACAATCGGTAACATTTACTGCGGAACTTCACGATCACGATCTAGTTTTGCTTAATATAAAACTGTTATCATGCAAAATAAAAGAGAAACTGTAGGTGTGGATTTCATACAGTCCCTTAGCGTGAATGTGATGCTATTGCACATACTGTGTTTGTTTAGACCAGATTTATTCAAAATGTTTGACATGAAACCACGTGTGAGCACAATGTGGATTGATACAGTCAGGACAGCTGTGTAATGTAGTGACAAACCCGTTGCTCAACAATGGAAGTACAATTCTAGTCCCTCGCACTGCAGCACCGGCTTCAGCATGTGTCGCCCAGTAGAGGGCATCAGTTTACTGCTGAACGAGTGGAGACAGTTAGTGGAACGTAAATGCAATCACGTAAAACCGAAAACCTCACATTTTCATTAAAAAACAAAACAAAACAAATAACACATTAAAGAAAACACAACTATTCCTTGAGGTTACAGAGCATCCGTCATTTGTACATGAACAAAATATATTTGTATTATCATAAATGATGAGAGGTTGTATTTGTGGACGATTGGCTCTTGTGTGAATGAGTAAAGGAAGCCACAGCTACTCCGTGTCTTCATGACATGTTGACTCATAATGTTGTTCACGATTTTTACTTTGAAAAGCCATTTTCACTGGCCAGTCCACCTTTTCACAATCTCTGCAGCAGGTGCAGGAGGCCCCTGAGGACTGTGCTCATCTGTAGTATCTGGTATAAAAATACAGAAAAGCAGAGGTAGCTAACAGAGCTGGGCTCCCTTTTCACTGTAGAGGAGGATGGTTTTACAAAAAGTCGCACAAGAGTGGGCACAAAGAATGTAAGCGCGATGCGTAACATCCCCGTACATGTATATGCCAGAGGACTGTGCTGAGACTCGACATAACCCTGTGGAAAAAAAGGCTGTTGTTAGCTGCACCTCCATGAAGTATTTATAGCAGATGTAAGGCAGATGCCTTCACTTGGCCTCCTGGAAAGAGAGAACACATGAGCGAGTCAATACTTTAAAAACATTTGGAACCAATAACATTGTTATGGCCTCATTTCACAGGAAATTAAAAAAAAAAGAAGAAGAAAGAGACCAACAGCTTTTGCCGTTTGACAGGTGTGAATGACATGAATGCATGAACACGGGAGGGATGAGTCATGCGGACGTACCGGTGGATCAGACGAGCACACACGTCCTCCTGCACTCTCCCTCTGTGTCGAAGCGGTTCCGGTTGCCGCTGCAGCCGCCGTACCAGAACTGTGCGCAGGCGTTGGCCTGCTTGTCGTAGTACCAGCGGATGTTATAGTCCCGACACGTGCCCTGGTCCAGAACCAGGCCGCAGCGCGGGTCCAAGGGTACGGTCTCTGCGGGGGGAAGCGGAGAACAGCAGGTTCTATGAAAATCATCCACACGGGATCAAAAAATAATTGGCCTCTCTTCCCCTCACCTACACGACCTTGTTACTGAGGCTGTCAATCAAAAAGCACTCACGACAACCCCGGAGTCACTTCTGCCACATGGACTTCAGATGCAACTCCGTCAAGTGACATTAGGAAAGATCTGATCACACGTCACTGAGGAAATTGGAGATGAAAACGTCGGAGAAACGTCCTATTTAAGATTGCTTTGCGTTACTGAGCATGTGAGTAGCTAACAGGTAGTTCAGGGATCTGTTTTTAGACTAGTCGTGCTGTTCCTCCTTATATTTCTCTTGCATCGGCCTAATGCAATTTTTGGCAAACTAAGGGTGATCTTTCCATGGTAACAATGACCAGGGCCACCAATTACAAAAGAAGAAAATATGTCCCACTATCAGTGGGTTGTTTGTCTGTTAGTGAGCAGGATTCTGTCCTGATTTGCATAAAACTTGGTTGAAGCGTGAAGCATGGAGGAAAGAACCGAGTGCATTTAGGAGCACATCCGAATCCATGCTGTGTTCAGTAAATGTCTCCAGATGTACCGTGTATGAGGACACACTGACTCCTAAAAAGGCTTCTTGGAGCTCTCGTTAGTGTCATTTGAAATTTGATAAACATGAGCCCATGTGTTTTAAGAGAGTACATTATCCAGGTTTGTTGATCCATAGTGGTATTTAAGTGATTTCTACCACCACATGTGCCCATATTCAACCTCACTTTTATTAACTCGGGAAGAGCTATTTCTAGACGCTCAGAGAAAAGACGCCTGATGAGAAAAGTGTGTAACGCTGGTTTGTTTTTGTTGGAACCCGACAGTATGACTGAGTCATTCGCAGGCAGCAGCTTTATCTACTTTGTTTCTCTGTAATGTGTTTGTTCTGGACCACCTCTGCGTTATGCGACGCGCGTGACGGCGTCGTGTCGCTAACGAACGATCTACGTGACAAAGAGCCGAGCAGACTGTACCTTTGGGGAGTGCCGGCCGCGGTGCAGGCTCCTGTTGTACGGACACGCCTGAGGAGGTCATTATTTTAGAGGACGAAGACGAGGAAGAGCCCTGCGTGCTGGAGGAGTCCTCTCCGGTCCTGGTGACTGAGGTGTTGCGGTTGAATGTGTCCCCGCGCTCGTTTCCCACGTGCGCGTCGGTGAGCGCGCTCTGCCCTCCGCCTCCCTGATGGCGACAAAACCAGCTGTGTTAAGCAGTTTTATGACGGGCGTTTTAGCAACACACGTATGTTCCCTACGTGTCCTGTGCTGGATCCCTTGCTGACGTGCAGGGTGGTGTCGACCCGGCCTCCGTCGGTGTGGATGGTCGACCCGGTGTTGGTGGCGGACGGGCGGCTGCTTAGTACCTGCTGCTCCGTCCCGGGCCGGTACTCGTAGCCACCGCCGGCGTAGTTGCCGTTGTTCCCGTAGCCGTTGTAGCCGTTAATCACTCCGTTGTATATCGCGGTTCCCTTCTCGTCCTCGCAGAACTGGCTGACCAGCTTGGACTCCAGCGCTGATAAAGGAAGACGCAGAGAGCAGGAGTCAGAACCAGGGAATCAAGACACGTTGGCTTTTTCTTGGCGAGACACCCTGAGTAGCCGCTTGAAGCTTTAACTTTGAGTAGTTTGGGTCGGAGCAGCACTTTGGCTGAGGCGTTTCACCAGGACCTGACGCCGGGCCAATGGGATTAATAACCCCGACGTGGGTCTGTGGGTCATTCCATTATTGTGGTCCAGCTAAAATGTCCTGACAACTATTTGATGGAAGACAAAAAGTCACGGTCCCCAGAGCATGTTTACCAAGAGGTTCTGAGGGAAGTGCCTCAAAAACGTTCATCTCGGAGCATTCGTCTGGTGCAGAATGTTAATCGTCTCACTAATTAATTAATTAATTAATTCTCACTAACCTCGGCTGCACTTCGCATGCTAACGTTACATGGTGAATATGATTAATAATACACTAAGTTCCCACCGCCAATGTCGGCACGTTGCACGCAGACGCTGCTGTACGAACACTAGTTGTGTTGAAACACTAGCTTGCTGGTTTAAAACGCTCAGGAAAACTGGGGATTTGTAATAATTGTCCTCTTCAACTCTGAACCGTTTTTTAAAGCATTGCACGAGTCAAGACAAGACAACTGAATTTGTATGAAATATTGACCTCCACAATGGTCCCCTGCTGTGACTTTGATGAGAAAATCTATACCACTGATGTCTGCATGCTGGACACGGCGCCCGACCCAGCGGGTGATTTGCTGGGTTTAGCTCAACACTGGAAACCCCTCTTTGTCAAACATGCACCCGGCTGGTATCTCTGTGCCTTTATTGATGTAGTGTCACAACCAAAGCCTCCCAAAGCCGCGTCTGGCTGACCTGGCAGGGTGTTGAAGTCGTCGATGAGAAACACGTGCTCTGCGTCGGGGTGGGAGGCGATCAGATTCAGCTCCATCATGAACTCCGCCTGCGTCGGGTCCGAGATGTTCACGATGCCCAGGGCGAACATCTCAATGTTGGCGGCGTGTGCTTCCCGCACGGCCAGATCCAGCTTCACGGGCTCCCGCTTGTCCGTCTGCCCGTCGGTGATCACGATGGCGACCTTGCTGACCCCCACGCGCGAGCTGTAGAAGGCCTCCTGGGTGGCTTTGCGGATGGCCGTGCCGGTGTGGGTGCCCTCTCCCATGTACGGGATGTTCCTGATGGCCTGCTTGATGTCCTGTTTGGTGACGTAGCGGGCCAGGTTGAACACCAGCTTCACCTCCAGGCTGTACACCACCAGGCCGATACGGGTGGCGTTGCGGCCCACGGTGATTCGGTCCACCAGCGCGTTGACAAAGTCCTTGATGATCTCGTAGTTCTCCGGGCCCACGCTCTCCGAGCTGTCAATAACAAACACCAGCTCCATGGGCCTCTCCTTGCACTTGATCCCACACCCTGGAATCACATCACAGTGTGTGAGATCAACGAGGTCCACCCCTCGTGATCTGATGACTTACAGGTGAGACGAGATGCTTCTCACGTTCACAAATCTACTTGAATAACTTCTGTGCTCAAGTCAATACGGAGAGGTGGAATAAATATTAAGATCTCAAGATACTTTACCGCAGATCTCTTTGATCATCCGTATGATGTCCTCTCTCTGAAATGAACACACCGACACAGTGTGAGTGTATAAATAAACACAAGCGGCAACCAAAAGTATCCAGATCCTTTACGAGTGTTAAAAATAGCAATATTTTTCCAGGCAGCACCTCATCTCCCAGTGCATTAGAAACATTCTAATTCCAAATCACCAAATTCGTAGATGAATTGTTTTCACTTGAGAGGACAAATACAAATACAAACACAAACAAGTATTTGAGTATTTGACTAGCGGGTGTAGCGGACAAAAATAAAATGCAAAGTTTGTACGTAAGTGAATGTAAAAATGTATATAAAAGATTGGAAGACTCACAGTGAGACCGGCTTCACCTTTGACCCCAGGTTGGCCCTGAGGTGAGAATACGCAGCAGTTGTTATAAACGTGGATGAAATGAATGACCAGAACGCTGAAATGAGTCATGAGGATCATGAGGGCCACTCACGGGTTTCCCATCGCTTCCAGAATCTCCAAATTCTCCTTTGATTCCCTTCAGCCCCCTCTCTCCCGACGAGCCGCGGTCGCCCTGTCACACGGGGTCAAAGGTCAGCCACCACAGCGCATCACAGCACGTTCGCAAAAACCCGCATCCGGGAGCGCCGCACAACACGGCGACTCACCTTAGCTCCAGGAAAGCCTTCTCCAGGAACCCCCCTCGGCCCAGTCACGCCCTGAGCCCCCTGTTCGCCCTGCATCACACACAGGAGTTATCTACTGTGCATGACTGACCTCTCCAATAGTTTAGAACTCAATAGAGTTTACAGTTTACATTTCAAACTTTGCCTACCTTTGGTCCTTGGACTCCTTGTCCTTGTGGCCCTGTTGGCCCTGGAGCGCCAGGTCGCCCAGGGTTACCCTGCAGTACAGCAAACACAATGGGCATCACATCAGGGCGGACGGTTCTGCTCGGGGCATTCTGCCAGCGGGTACTGATTTCAAAGGCTAGTTAACCCTAGTTAACCCGTCCACTCTCGCAAGGCGGCAACTTTCGATTTACAACCCACTTCATTTTATACCTCAGAAAACAATGTAAACGTGTGTTTGTAGTTTCTACTGCTATTGCTTCTTCAATACACCTCCAACTTGTCTGGACTTCTCCCTTCCGCCGTCTGCTATGCACGCATGGAACATGAACTATAGTTCACCATAAACGCACAGCCACACTTATATATAAGTATCCAACGACAAATGTGTGGTCCCGAGGCCGTCTTGAGTGAACACATCTGATGTATTCCACATCTGTAACCAATGATTCCTCTTCCTTGAACGGGCTTCCGCTGGTGATGACGTTGAGGTGAAAAGCACTTCATGGTGCGGATCGCCACCGCACTGTGAACGTGAGTCACGTTCTCTCAGCGTGGAGCGGCGCAGCGGCTTTAGGCGACTTCTCAATTAAATCCGGCCTGGCGCTGCGTGACTGGGACAGCGACCTGCAAGAAGGCCGGCCCGAAGCCTGCCGGCACTGAGGATGGGGCGTTGGGGGATGTGAGTGGGGCGTTGCTTCTCATTAGAAACGCACTTCTGTGGAGATTCACTCTGTGCACCGACGTGTCAGAGCGCCAGCAAGGAAAACATTGTGACCAGCGCCCCCCCCCAAACAAATGAACTGTCAGGCTTTGGAACATAAGGCCCCTGCGGTTGGAAAGTTCACAAGACAACGCACTCTTTCTCCTCTTCATTTTTGGATCCCTTTGACTACCGCGAAGCCGTAATGCTTCAGAGGATGTGTGCTTTGCCTGCCGCACAAGTAAACACGTCGCAGCGCTGTTCTCGACTCGTGTTTGCCGAAACAAGTCAAAGATGAAAAGTTGTGGAGTACCAGAGGTCCTTGGAGGCCTTCGCCCGGAGGTCCCGGTGCACCAGGTAACCCTCGGAAACCGACATCACCCTGCGAAGGAGAGAAAACCCAGTGGAGATATGTGAACACGTACAGCAGAGCAATTTACCATCCATCAAACCAATGGCTCCCGTGCCGAGCGGAATCCTGCTTCCTTTAATTAGTTTCCTCCAAGAAATGGCTGCGTCTGTCACTGGGGAGGTACTCTCACCTGTCCTAACCCGTTCCAACAGAGCTCTGGAAGTAATACAACTTATAGGGACATTTGCTTTGGCTTGCTAAATTCATCCGTGTCATATTCCGCCACGGTGTAGCACGCTCCCTATTTTCCACCGACGTGCAAATACTCTCCAAACATTCCTTTGGGTTTGGCGGGTCCCAGTTCTCACCTTTGGTCCGGGGATGCCCAGTCCTTCCTGGCCGGGTTCTCCTGGAAGTCCAGGCAGACCAGGAGGGCCCTAAATCAACACAGCAAAGGGAGGCAGAATAAACTCTCAGGGCCTCATAGAGCGTTTTCAGTGCCACGGCCAACGCGCAGAAAGCCCTCGCTGTGTCATATTTACGAAACCTGCAGTTTATTGGCCAATCAGCGCATTTCTCCGCCCATTGCGAGCATTTAAACCCGCACTTGGACCCTTGGAATGGACCTCCTTCTCTCTTTCTATCATGGATCGGCCAACGTCCAAACAGAGAAAAACAGAGATTCAGTGACAAGGAAGTTGATGTGTTATTTGGTCATTATTGGGAGGGAAGGAATGCATTGACTGGTGCGCATGGCTGCTTAATCTTTAACGCGGAATGATTTTGTGTTCAATTGTGTTCCTTTTTCCTTTCGGCTTGTCTCTCTGGTCAATGTCGCCTTCCGGCTCGGATTACTGCTGTTATTTCCCCAGGAGGCAGATGCAAGGAAACCCACATTCTTGTTAACACCGGAATTTTCACCGCAAAACGGAGACGCGCACTTTACGCATCCCCTCCCATCACTTTATGGGAAACTCCCACTTTCCCCTTGACCCTCCTGGAGTGTTAATTTCGTCGACTAAAACTAAGAAGGATTAAAATGTGATGTGACTAAAACTAATATGCATTTTCGTCTAAAGACTAAGACTAAATCAAAAATAGCTGCCAAAATTAACACTGCCCTCCTGTGAATGCATATGCATGACACGGAAAAGCCCAATTTGCCATTTTCAGTTTCCGCGACAGGCTTCACCTCCTACATCGCGCACGCTTTTACGGCACGTTGCGAAACAAATACGACTGAAGTCGCCACAAAAGCATTCGTACATGAGGCGCTCAAAGATTATTAAATTATTAAAATTGTTAAAGGAATCATCGTTTACATTTTGCTTGGGAAACTGGTGAAGACTCCAGGAAGTTAAAGTAATGTCTGACCCTGATGACCTGTAAAAGGTGAACTTCTGTCTTTATGCTGCCATTTGCGTTTATTGTTGAGCTTAAGTTTTTGGCTTTAACTTGTGAAGCATTAAATGCTTAATGCAATGGGCAAAATGACATCATCGCCATATCTATTTGTTCCCTATTAGCCTTGTCTTCACTATGCAATTCTTTCCAAATCTAAATCACGTCAAAATCACGGCTAAATATGTAGAGGAAACACCAGGCTGTCATATATCACATCCCAGCACTGCAAACTCGCTTTCAGATTCAAATCTGTTTCTTCTTGAGGTTCCGTTTATGCGTTGACCCGTAGCCAGGCTACTAGAGGTCGCCTTGTTGCTTACACTGCTAAAAAAAAAGAAGCAATGAAGAAGCCAATGGCAGCCAGAAACAAACATCTAAGCCAGATACTGCTCACGCACGCTTTAGACCAGCATCCAGGAACAAATATCTATGATTAATTGTCCTTTTTATAATCTAAACAATGGACACATTTAAAAAAATGAGTTATTGATGAATGCAGAGGTTTATGAGGGTCAGAAAGACTCTACTGGTAACAAAAGTGTAGACATATGTCTGGAACTGATGGGTGAAATTAGACAGGCACAAGACAGATGGACGGACAGAATGTAATGTGTGGATGGATGACATGAACGGGAAGATTTATCAGAGGACAAATGGGCACGTCAGTCTCTAAATCAGTCCCTCACCACGGGGCCTGGATAGCCGTCTCCTTTGGGACCGAATGGACCTGCTGGGCCTGAGTCTCCACGGTCCCCCTAAAGCACACAGATAAAGTTTACCAAGCGATTAACATACAGATGATCACAGCAAAGGACACATGTGCTTTGTGCTGCTCCCCATGCGTCTGTGTTACAAAGACGGCGCGGCATCTATCCACAGTGTTACCTTTGGACCAGGAAGTCCATAGCCAGTCTCGCCCAACGGACCCGGAGGGCCACTCGGGCCAAGATCCCCCTAGAACACACGTTAGCACAGGACAGTTGCCCAATTTCTGGATGAAATGTGTTATGACACAGCAATCGATAGTGGTACAACCAAAATGGATCGTTACTTTGATTAAAACTAACTTCCGATTGGTTCTAAACTAATTTAGGAAACAATTGTCTCTTGAAGTGAGGAGTCTGGAAAACCCCTTTGACATTTTATCAATATTTGGACCAATCCAAATTATTATCTGGAGCAGTTACCTTGGGTCCGGAGACAAAGCGGCCCGGTGGGCCGGGTAAACCCCCCCTTCCCTGTGTCCCCGGTTCTCCCTGAAGAAGATTCATGCAAGAGAAGTGGTTAAAACCATTTAACCATTTGACTCATTTCATAGCTGATAAAGTTCAATGGCTCCTCACCTTTGGTCCGGAGGGTCCGGCGATGCCGGCTGGACCCGCCAAGCCGCGTATTCCTCTTTGGCCTTGGTCGCCCTTAAACATCACATTGGGAATACACTTACTAATCTGTTAGCAGCCGTGAAGTGCCTCATTACAAAGAGAGCAGGTGCAAAAAGAGGAAGCGGGAAGGGTCACTTTTCTTTCACCTTTTCGCCCTGGGTGCCGATTCCAGCTGCTCCCTCTAACCCCCTTAAACCGACAGGTCCCGACTCGCCCTGGAGTGGCAAACACACACATTTAGTTTTGTGGGTTTAATATCTGAGAAAGAAGATAACTGTCGTAGCAGGCGGTCATTTAAGCTACCTTCTGTCCGGGGGCCCCGTCCTCCCCCGGCAGACCCGGCAAACCAGACAGCCCCGTTGATCCCGGCTCGCCCTGAGGACAGATTAGGAACTGCTACATTCAACGCTGTAAAAGTACAAACGTTTACTGCAGATGAGGAGTTTTGACTAACCTTAGCTCCAGCGTCTCCGGCCCCTCTCTCTCCTGGGGCCCCGACCTCGCCCGGCAAACCTTGGTCCCCCTATGTGTGGGAGAAGAGGGGGCGGGGGGTGTATGACATCGACTCAAACTAGATCTCCAGTGAGGCGTAGCTTTGATTATCCTATCTATCATTACTAATTACTGGGGTCCTGATGGTGATGTCATCAAATCAAACAACGTTGTGAACCTGATTGAGTGCATGTACAAACCTTGGATCCAGGGAAGCCCTCCCCTCGCTGGCCTCTGCCCCCTGGCGGGCCCCTTGGTCCTTCGACGCCCTGCAAGGAGACGGAATGAGAATAATGAAATGAGAATCCATCTATTAGAAATGAACAGTCAAAATTTGGAAGGCTTTAGGACTGCGCAAAAATGACTGACAGATGATTGACAAGTTTTAAAAGCACATGCTGTCATTGGTTACTAGCCATTGATTGTATTTTTCAAATTATTAAGCATAAAATGCATAATAACATTAATGTTCTCATCAAATCTGGTGCTTACACAATGCAACTTGGCATGCGGGAGTTGAGTTGGAGATTTGGTTGTGTGTCGCTAGAAGCAGCTAAAGTAGCCGCTAGCGCCCAGCAGAGACAGAGGACTGCAGCAGCAGGTCAATCAGGACATTTCCTGCTCCTCAATCAGTCCTAATGACTTCACACAAGGCTTCCTCATGCTTTCCAATCCATCTTATTTCCTTTTATTTAGAATTATTCATGAAAAGAAAATGGAAAGTATTACTCATGCTCTTAAGTTAGACATAAGGTTGAGCCGTCTTCCCCACCCCGATACAGTCAAAGAGTAACTTGCCTTCTCGCCCTGTATGCCGGCTCCTGGGAGCCCGAGGGGCCCTGGAAGACCTGGAGCCCCAAAATCCCCCTGCGGGTTCAGAAATGGACGGAGGTTAATGACGATAACAGCCGTGTCATTAGCATGGAGTGGCTTCCTACTCGGATGATTTCATGATTCATTTCATGTGAAAAGCACCCAAATGTTCACGAGTGCGTTGCCAAGGTGCAGCTTGACTCTTCACGCTCGGCCCCCCGGTGTCCGTGTGAAGGCGTCGCTCTACCTTGTCTCCTTTGATCCCGGCGCCCGGCTGCCCTCTGAGCCCCCGCGGCCCGTCCAAGCCTCGCTCCCCCTGTGGAGACGGAAGAAAAATGTTCTCGCAAGTGACGACAAACAGAGAATGTTGTTCGGACTTCTCTTGCATAATCTGACATCCACATGGAGCCACGTGTGCTCAGGGCCTGAGGTTTGGGTAAAACATTCCTTTTTAATTCCTGTCTATGTTTACGTTTCACATGCCAGAGTGATGTTGATGGACGACACTGTTATATATACAATGTTGTATTTTATCACCAAATATCAATTTCTGCACAATTCTATGTGTTGGATTCTCGTTCTTGTGTGAATTTGTGTTGGAGGGTTTTGGAGATATCGCTACTTGGAAGAGGAAGAATGCTTTGTTTTATCTTTCATGTTTGTTTCTCTTCCTAGGGAAAGAGGTCACTGAACATCTCATGAATAAGTGAGTGTTTTACATCTTCAGATGTGTCCCGAGAGGATCTGTGAGTTGGAAAATCAGAAAAGGCCAGAATAGAAATACACTAATCTAAGTTGACAGTAAGTACAATGGAGTGTGCAGCACAACGTCGGGATGCGTTAGATTCCTCAGAGAATCTCACATTTACCTTGTGACCAGGTCATCCAAGGACTTGGGATTCAGTAACATAAGTACATTGATTGAGTAATGCCGCATTTACATGCCAAAAAAACATAGATCTATTGTCATAACTCTGCCATCTAATCTTTGCACAGAAGCCGCCAAGGTGCTAATGATGTGGAAAGAAAGATGTGATACTGCTGCTGTGAATCCGGAGCTTGTGGAGACACGCCGTGTGAGGAACGCTGCTTTACAGCGAGGCTGCGGTCAAATCTCCTGTCGAGGAAAACACGAGGGGGGGGGGGACTGACTGAAGTCGACAAATAATGAATTAGATGAAGGGGGAAGAGGAAAAAAAGTAATATTTTCATCTGAGCCTTCTAATGCTAAAGGGCACAGAAAATCCCATTTGTCATTACCGACAAAATTCCATTAACTTGATGACTTAATTATGAAGTTCGGTTGACTGTCGACTGTCTGCATTTACCAATAACAACCATGGGGTTGGTCCTCGCGTTGACTGGAGAGGTGGCCATCAGGTGGCGGTAAAGGCCACGTCACATCTATTCACTCTGTAACTGTGGGCTGAAATTTAAACTGCTTTTATTCATTAACCTGCAATTATTTTGTGAAAAAGCTGAACTCGTGTATCTCTTGGACCCGACAAAAGCAAAATATTCAAAAAAACGTTGTGTGAGGAAGAATATGAAGATGACAGCATGTGTGCACCAGCCGGAGCGCGAGAGAGAGACAACAGGCGTATTTTTAAATGCGTGCGTCTGTGCATGCTGAGGGAAGGCAGACACAGGAACAGACTCATTCTTTCCTGCCTCCGTGAGTCACACACTGTGCCAGGTCACATGGTGCCCTGGCTATCTTCCTGTACCATCACCACAGCTGCCGCTCCGCGCCGGCATCGGCTCGGTGGGGACGACGAGCGGAGCGGTCCACGCGGTGAGGTCATGGCAGGCGCAGCTGCGTGTGAAGTTATGGAACTTCTGTGTTGTGTCATCATCTCTTGTAATTATTCACATTGTGGATGCCCTGTCATTACACTCTGGAATCTGGATGCCGGATGCATAACATGGGGGTCAAAAGGTTCAATTTTTTTGACAGGTGCAGGCGTGCCAAGAAAGAAACGCGTCCCTCAAATACCGGGCACACGACACAAACTCACCTTTGGTCCAGGTAAACCTTCTCCTGTCAGTCCTCTCTCTCCTGAGACTCCCTGTGGCCCTTGAGGCCCCTGAATGAAATAAAACCGCTGTAAATGGTCACTGAAAAGTCACCTCTTCGAACAACAGGCCATTTGCAGAATGAACTTTTGTGTATGTGCGGTAGTCTTAGCATGCACGCTAGTGTTAGCATGCACGCTAGTGTTAGCATGCACAGCTAACTCTTCTGATACTGACAGTTGTATTGTTACTGCCAGTAGAAGGCTGATTATGAGATAATGGATCACAGAAAAACAGGGCAGCACCCCTCCTCCCACTAAGGAGCAAGACACACTTTGCACAGTCACTTTTTGTGGTCTTTTTTGCGTGTGTGTATTTGTGGCCCCTTTTTTGCACTTTGTAGTCATTTTGTGTGTCATTGTGCTCGTTCTATCCCTTTTCCTAATTGTTTTGCGTTTCTTTGAAGTCGTTTTGCGTCTCTTTGTCATTTCTGTTGGTCACTTTGTATTCTTCCGGAAGTTGTTTATTATGATCATCGGTGTGATCATCTGGAGTGCCCTTTGATAAGTGTTTGTCTGAGCGACATTTTTCCAGAGAAGGCAATAAGGCAGGGATCATATCCCGCCCAACACTGCACCTGACATTCTATTGGGGGGAGGGGCCAGGGGGGTACTGACAGGGTTATTGCACAAAGAAACGTAAGTGTGAGGAGATGGGCTCGAACTGGAATGGAGGAAATAGGTGCTCGCAACAACATATCTGAGTGCAAGCATACAATTTTAGCAGAAGCCAAATGCAAAGCTCGACAGGTTTACAGCAGCATTGTAACCGGCTTGGTCTGAGCTGTGCAGGTTCTCACTCACCGGTGGTCCGTGCTCGCCAAGTCCCGGAGGGCCGGGAGAGCCGGTCTGCCCCTGATAACCGGCGTCCCCCTGTGGAGCATAAGAGGGTGCTATGAGATCCCCAACAGGGTGAGGCACAGCTGGATTATTCTACTCATGACTTGAATTTTCCACTATAGGGAACCAGACGTTACCTTGGGCCCCGGAAGGCCAATCCCCGTTTCCCCTTGAATTCCAGGTGGCCCAGAAAGTCCCCTTTCCCCCTATAAAACGACAGGCAGAGACAGACATGTGCAAGCGCACAAACAGATGCACAAACAGAGCGCTTTGTTAGTCGGATTTCTGGGCTCAAGGCCTCACTTTGACATTATGGGATATCCGAGCAGTAAAGGTGCTCCCTCTCCCTGCTTTTCCTTCCCCTAATATTAGACATGTATGGGGCTCCTTCATTACCGCAGTAAGGAATCCATTGTTGAAGAATGTAATTATTCGCTCAGAGGCCGTAAATCAGGACAAGAGGCGTAAAGAGGGTGTGGAAATGTTAGCAGGCGCATACCGCCACTTTCTTTTTTCATTTCCCTAACCCTTTCAAGCAAGTTGGGACAATGTTTAAAGCCAGACATTAGTCTGCCGTTCAGGTGATATAGAATGACAGCCAGACAATCGGCGAGAACATTCTTCCAAAAATAATTAAGGAGAGAACACTTGGGAAGTGTGTATCCTTGACAGAATTGGCAGCTATAAAACACCAGAAAGGCGGCTTAAAAAGTAAGAACATACAAATAGACCGACATGGTAATAGCAGATGAGGTGCTAAGGTTTCAACTGGTCCACTGTTGAGACACAACTCACAAATAAGTTCTCAAATGTATCTGATTAGTTGACATTCGTGTTATTCCCGTGATAAATGGATTTAATCTGAATCCCTTTTTAAATATCAACATCCAGAATGCCTCCTTTGTCTAAGTAAAATCCACAGGGACAGAAAAAACACATTATTACGTGGTTTCCCCCTTTATATTCTTCCATATGCAGCAACACATTTCTCTTTTCACCTCTGCCAGTCCACAGCAACGAGGTTATCCATCATATTTGTGCTGATAAATCATCTGGCATGGACTCAAACAACTATGAAAGAGAATTAATTCAAACCAGACAGGAAAAAAAAGTCAAATCCTGTACCCTTCAGATACGCATCTGGTTCTGGAAAAAGGGAAAGGCCGGTCTTTGACCCTAAGTGAATTGACTCAAGCTTAAAGGAATGGCCAGTAGGAGAGGAGGACGGTTGATTTACTTCCTTCGTTTAGTTTCCTTTTGTACTTCAACACTGTCCAGATTTCATGGTTGGGCTCAAGTGTGATTGAGTGCAAAATGTGATTTTAAAGGCATAAAGACTGAGGAGAACTTACTTTTTTACCCATTGTACCTTCAGGTCCAATATCACCGGGTGGACCAAGCGAACCCTGCATTGTGGGTAATGAGTGAGGGTTACACATTATAAAGTGGCAGTTATTGTAATCCTGTATTAGCAACCATACCTAGGCATGTCAAACTTTAGGTGTGAATACATGTTGAAGCAGTCAGCTATCATATATTATCTGTGCAATAAGAGTATGGAGGGTGTGGTATTGCTTTTAAATCAGCGTGGCTCCATGTTTGTGTGATATAGCTTAAGAATGATAGAACACTTGTCTACCACAATGTGGCCAGTAAAAACCATCATTGTGTGTCATCATTGCTGTTATCTCAACTTAGCTTGGCAGTTTCATGTAAAAGTGAGATGTGAAAGGAAGAACAGGCTTTGAGTAAAAATGTTTTGCGGTCTACCATTCAGAACTTCAAGGTCTCTTTTTTACAAACATGTGAGCTGGACACAGTGAAGTTAGCGCACAGACTTTGTGGTAATCAGCTTGATAGCGACAGCCGATACAATGGGGTCAGATGTAACAACAACTAGTTGGGCTCATTGAAAAGTGGCGGCGATTTCACCTGAAGTCCACGGTTTCCTCTCGGGCCGATGGTTCCTTCAGGACCCTAGAAAATAGGAGTTAATTCAAATTCATGACCAATAGTGAACAGAGCTCTTACATTTTGTACGGCATTAAAGGGCAACATACTCTGTCTCCTTTAATTCCAGGTGTGCCACACTCCCCTCTCACTCCCTGTGGGAGAAGCAGTGGAGTCCTTAGATTAGCAATTCATTTCCGTTATGCATAAATTCATGTTCATAACACAGAATTTAATTTCCTCGGAGCAGTTTATTTTGAAATGTGTTTTAACATCACAGCTGCTGTTGTGCAATGACATGGAATTTACGTAATTACATTCCTTTAAAAGAAAAGTAACTTGAGATAATTGCAGACTGGCTCGACATTGAACACAGATAGAAAACGATATTTCCACAGACTTGTCTTTGCACGATAACTTTGCAGGAACTTCATGCGGTCTGGAAATCATAATTTCCACGAGCGTGGGAACCACATATTTTGACACATCATGGCGGCATATGGACTTGAGCAGAATCCATACTGTACCTTCTCTCCTTTGTACCCCGACTTTCCCTGTGTACAAAACATTCTAGTTAGGTCAGAAAGAGACAGGCAACCATCAAACCACTGACATTTATCGACCGCAGAATAACTGAATCTTAACCACCGGATCCACGACCCTGAGCTCACCTCAGCTCCTTCCCGACCCGGAAGTCCACTGAGCCCACCTTCACCCTAAAAGGAAAGAGGGGTTTTATTTTCACTGGGTTTGCCCCGGCCATATCTCAAACTGTCAATATGTTTACGTATTATACATTTCTTTAACCAAAAACAACTGATGGTTAGATGAGTAGGTAACACCTTCTGTCCTTTTGAGCCGGGGCTTCCATCTTCTCCAGGACGACCCTTCTTGCCCTGAAAAGAAAGTCATGGTAGAACCATTAGGAAGAACACTTTAAACTGACGTGGGAATAAACCAGGAGCGCTTCAGTGACAGAAACCGTGTCCCTGTTTTAGAGCTTTTAAGGAAACGCATGACGTAATATATATTTGTAGCTTCCAGGAAGACGAGCGAATGAAGATTATCTGTTGAATAAAATCAATAAATAAAAAGTATTATTATTAAGGTCAACTAATGATCTTATTTGAGAGTGATCACAAGATTGTAGGCGAGAACATATGACTCTGAAATGTTAGCTTAGCTTAGCGCAGAAACAGGAAGAACTTCGAGGTGCTATTTGGCTGATGTGATCACCTTTAGTGCTAAGCTTAGCAAACTGCCAGTCGGCTCTAGATTCATATACCACATCCTGATATGAAGGTGGAATTAAACTTCTCATCTAATGCTTGGCTAGAAAGCAGGTGCCTTTCCCCAAATGTTGCCCTCTGCCTCAGATCTTATTTTTATCCGCCAGTAGAACGATAGACAGAACAGCAGAACAGTTTTCCTTCTTATCTTCTAGACCTGGTGGAAGCAACATGTTCATGGTGGCCCACGGATGAAGGCCACTTTATCTGTTGTCTGGGGGTGAGAGGACTCATCAACGGTCTTGTTCTCTTTTCTCTTTATTCTCGTGCGGTTTGTGATATGGACTGTGCATGCTCTTGTCTTTAAAGCATCTCTGCTGCCACTGATGTGAAACAGCTTTGCTTCGGAGCGTCAGGTTTAACGGGGTAATTGCGCTGTTCTCATCCTGTGAAAATACATCAAAGCGAAAGCGCCTAATTGCGGCGGACCTTCTCCGGGTGACAAAAGGAGCGCTGACATCCCGGCTTTGGGAGGCAATGGAAGTCATACATGTGACATCTTACGCATGTGCTAAGAGTATCCAGAGGGACGGACATTATCAGTTTTTCCTACGTAAACATCTGTTTAGGGCTGTTCTCAAAATACTGTCGGAGGAATGTAAAGTATTTATTGCTTTACTCTCACTGCTGCAGGGAAACATAGATTCTTAAAACCACAGGGTTTACTAAATACCCCCCAAAACCCTGCAATTATGTAGGCTGTTAGCATCAAGGGGGCTTGCGTGAGCGGTGTTGTCCTTTAAGGCGTTACAAAACAAGCCGGCTTAATGGGCGTAATGTGTTTTTAGAGACAGTGAAAGAGAACACATGTGGTTATAAAATCAGGGTCTTTATCTCATGGCCGACCAATATGTGGAGTCCTAAAGAGTTTCCTACTTAATAAGTTATTGTGACAACGGTACACGGAGTACATGGCTACACCTCTCGAACGATTTAGCCCAACAAGGCTTGAATAGTCTGCAGCGTGATGCCGGTGTTCGGCACGACCACCATTTTACTCTTCGCTTTGAGTTGTGTTTCTCTCTCTAGGAAACACGGTTAAGCTGAATAAATATGGAGATGTTTTGTGTACTGATGCTAACAGGGCTACATTTTGGCGCTGATTGTCAGGGAGATTTAAACTATTGAAATAAAACATATATAATGCAATTAAAATGAAGTCCTTTAAAACCAAATGAGAAATATGGTGAATTCATAATCACAATGAACTATTCAACTATTTAATAGTGAACATTTTGAGGCTCCATAGGTCAATTCTGGGTCGGAGGAGTACTTACAGGGGGGCCGCTGGGTCCCCGCTCACCCTTCTCACACTTACACTGGCTCTGGGCCATTGGACACTTCAAACACAGGAAAAAAAAGGGTCAGGCGCCACATTTCAGGGACACAAATCAGGAAATGTGCATAATGACCAAATCCTGGAAAGATACCCCTTCATCCGCCAACGCCGTGTGTGGAGCAACAACACAAGAACGACAACGCGTCGTCAGACGTACTGCATATGGTTCATTTATAGCCAACCAGCACCGGTTTATGAATGGAAGCTCCTGAAAAAATGTCCAAACTCTGAGCTAAACCGTCAATTCTGCTCTCGGAGTTTTTATTATCAGATGTTTACCACCTGTGTCAACAGTGGGTTTGAGATGGTGATTGAGAAGTGAGTGTCAGTGCATGTTCTCGCTGTGTTCTGGCTCCCGCTGCACCCAACTTCCCCACAAAAGAGTTTTAATGCGGAGCATATGTTGGAGCCTTGCGGCAACATGTTGTAGTTGTCTAGGAAATTAACTTTCTTTGGAAGTAACCTCAATGACTCCTGATAAACCACTGGAAATAAAGACGCCCTGTGTTGACCTAACACAACCGGGTGGATGTCAGGAGTGGATTTTGTATTACAGTGATGAGTAAGGGGACGACAGCAGCCTTGTTGCTATGGCAGCAGGTAACAGGTGTACATCGTGAGCAGTGGGTGGTGTCAAAGACGTAAGAGACGCTAACGTCTGATTAATTAGCCAGAAGTCACTCTGCGTCACGGCTTCGCAAAGCTTACACCTGCACGCCATTACCAGGGATAAATATCTATCAAACGCATTCCTTCAAAGGCTTTTTTGTAAATGAGGAAAGAAAAAACTGAAATGTAAATTTGATCCGGTGATTTTGAAGAAATCCTGTCACATTTTGATGTCTGTACATTCAACATTTGAGTGCGAGAATGGGTTATTACCAAAGTACAGAGCAAATATTGGTATCCGTTTTCTTACTCACAATCTCGTTAATGAATTTATCCACAACGCCTCCGTCCTGCAGGTTGTGAAGGTAGCGCGAGGCCGGCGAGCTAGCAATTAGCCGCAGCTGAGCTACATTTGCGGGCAGGTTGGCTTCAGGCGTGATGCCCACGGTGAAGAAGCGGACGCCCTGGTTCTTGGCGTCGGCCACGGCTGAAGATATGTCGGGGTTCCTGGGGTGAGAGATGCCGTCGAAGAGCAGAACCGCCAACTTGATGCTGGTGGGCTCCGACTCCTCCAGGTAAATACGGGTGAGGTTGGTGATGGCGAAGGTGGTGTAGGTGCCGTGGCCGATGTACGCGATGGGTGCGATTCTAGCCTTGAAGTCGTCAATGCCCTTCCACTGCCTGAAGGTCTGCTCCACGATGACGTGGCTGCTGTACTGAAGGAGGGCCGCCCGGGACCTGAGGCCCCGGCCCGTCTGCAGCCGCAGGTTCTGCAGCCGGTCCATCACTTCGGTGGCGAAGCGCTTCTCCTGGGCATGGTTGTCCTTGGCGCTCTCTGAGCTGTCGATCAGAAAGGCTAGCTCCAAATTGCATTCTTCACTGACGAGAGCTGGAATGTAGGAGGCAACAATTAATGGAATAGTTTGACATTTTGCAGGTGTATTGTTAGCTTAGCATAAAGCACATGCAATCGGCTCAATCAAAGCCCAAGCAAATTGACTTTGGGACAAGCGGATTTCCAGACAAACATCCTTCTTTTTCCTTCATTTTTAGGAGGATAGCTATTAAAGCTTCATAATAAACAATCAATTAACTGAATATGATGCCATGACCTTTTCAATCGAGATATGTCATCCAATGCAGTCACATTAACAAAGGAAAAGATGCATTGTGCTCTGATCTGACTGAACTAGATATAGTTGATATGTGTCACACTTTCATATGCAGTCAAAAGATCCCAGTCAAAGGGGTTTTTAAACAAGGGAGACATCTTTCTGTGGAGGGGTAAAGGTGATTTACTGCCTGTTTTACCTCCAAAGACTTGGAGAAAAGGCTTTTTTCCAGGAAAAGTGAGATACGTTCATAAATGTTGCGTATCGTTGTTTGAAGAGGATATAAAAGCAACTCAAACCGCTGCACCAACCTTCGCCGATGGGAGGAGGTCACGGATCTGATAAATCACATCAATCCTCACAGAAATGTGTCATAGGGAGAATGCGCCCCGGGGGAAACAGGATTCTGGGCGAATACAACATTTGGGTAGCGGAGCAGTAAGCCGTGGAGATGGATGGCTCTTTGGAGCCCTGGAGATATGATCAATCCAGGTGGATTGCATCCTCCAGCAATGTCCTTGTTGAGTATCATCTTCTCTCTTTTTTTTTTTTTACACCTGTGGCAGCAGATTCTTTTGCCCCCCGGTGATGCAAAAGGTGAGATATGTGCCACCTGCACAAATTCCCCACCACTTTTAAGAACATCAGTGGAACACATGTAGAATATAAATGAATGAAACACTTACATTTGCCATTTTCAGGTATTACATTGGATGGATTTAGTTTGGTCTTCTTCTTCTTGGTGGTCACCACCTCTTCACCGTAGTCTTCCTCGTAGTCCTGAGCCAAAAGACCTTGAAGTCCCCACAGTAGCAGGAGCCAGTGCAGCGAGAGGACCATGACTTTCCTAGGAGATAAAGAGAAGACCGGGATGGATGAAAAGACCCAAAGACATGTTAATACAGCCCCCCAACTCCCTCAGAGAACAAGCTTTAACAGGCACGTTTGAGACCCAAGCATGCATATAACTCACAATGGTGCTGACTAGGAATCCAATGTGTTCAGCTATAAAGAACGCTCTCCTGGCATTGAGTGCAAATAGGGAAGAGGAGAGATTCTTCACTCAGTTAGTTTGGCTCCATGTCCTGCTGGGTGTCCTCTGCTGGGGTTCGATCTCAGTCTGCAGGTCAGCGGGCATCTAATGGTGGCTTCAGCAGCAGCGGCAGTGCGTGGCAGAAACTTAAGTGACTCTCATGAGACTCGGGCTCAAGTCATTCTAAGCTCGTGGCAAATTTAGGGAAGTCCACCCCCTTTTTTTTTTGTTTTATCTCACCCACTCACGTTTAGGGGGGAGTGTGGGAGGGGTGCCTGTTGGAGGCAGCAGTTACAGACACTCCTGAAAGCCATGATAGAGCAATGACTCCCCCCCACCCCGCTCACCCAAACCCGCAAAAAGTAAATACTTTTTTCACGTCCATTCTTTTGCTTCGTAAGGCGCACTTTTTAAACCGGCACACGAAGGAAAGTCCCTGGGGGTGATTTCCATGACAGCTGGTTCAAATCCAAACAGGGCGTTTGCCAAGGTGTTGAGAGGTAGCTGCCAATGAGGACACTAAGGTCATGTCCTTGGAGAACTTTCTGGAGAGTTTGGGGGAGCGTAATGACTCAAATGTACATCCCCTCTAAAGGCTGACGCGATTTTTGTATCTTTTCACAAATGAAAGTCTGGTTGAATGGTAGCTTATGGTGGCTAATGTTAGTGAATGCTCACTAACTTACTTAAAGATAAATGTTGCTGTTGCTGTATTTCAGCACTTACGACGGTTACATCAACTCACTTTCAACGTTGCTTGCTTTTAATTGAACCATTACACATTCATCACAGAGCGACATTCATTTGGACTCCTTTGAGTCGCTACCAATGCCTTCAGACTGACTTTGTTTGTCTGCCATTTGGTGCTGGGACAGTAATTTGCGATGGATAGTTAGAGCTTTATATAATATTAGGTTCCTTCAAACTGACGGCAACTGCAGAGCTAATTATGTAATAATCACTACAATTTAATCCAATGTTGTTGTCAAAATATCTATTTTAGCTGCTTTAAAGTAAATATTGTAATTGTGCCTCCAGAGGCCTCGCCTTGGTTGTAATCCGGGAGGATGAAAAGTTTGGATAGGGGATTTATACCTGAAGGCTACACATCTTGCTAGAGCAGCGTACCGCGATTCATCTAACAAAGCATCCAGAGCGCTTGTTACTCTTGCCAGGATTTACTGTAAACACACGTTTCCACAAGCCGGAGAGAATAATATCTGTATGAACGGCCGTGCAACTGCTAAACAGCCTCCAAGTTTCACTCATTTCTTTTAGTTTAAACATGTCACTTCCATCAAAACTCCATTCAAACTCAGATTCTATTGGTTTACACAGTCTACTCTTTGCTGGAAATGAAAGGTCAGGACTTTAGAACCAGTCAGCTTTTTATGGAAACTGGCACCAAAGGGAATTCTCTTAACGTGTGGTAATTCCTCGGTACACCTCGGATCAGAGGAGTCTCAACGTCTCATGAGAACGTCTGCAGCGATAAAAGCTGCGGGGTGGAATCGCATATCTCTGCAGACGGGATGACGGCGAGTGTTTTTACTGCCCACCGTATTACAGAAAGCCAGGATATGCGAGCTGTCACTCAAGAATGCTCCCACCTGAAAGATGGACCTCCTCAAATCTGCTCGGGCTCCCCTCTCCTGCGTGTGGAGAGGTAATTAAGCAAAGAGAGGGGTTTGTGGCGGAACATTTTTGTCGAGCGAATATCGTCAGATCTGTATGCGACAAGCAGGTGAAAGCTGTCGTCGCTGTCCGACCGTACAGTATCGGTGCTCGTTTTGCTGCACATTGCACAACATATGGCAAAACTAGGACACCGCATAGCACTGAATATGAAATGCCGTATACGAATGGAAAACCACCAAACATGTGCAGAAACGAGACAGCCGCAAATGTGCACAACTGATCTTTTCACCCCCCCCAAAAAGCATTCTTTCAAAGTTCAGTTCTTACGAGCGAGATTTCATTGACGGCAGGGATTCTCAAATAATGAGCCTGCTTGTTCGCTATCTGCCTTCATCAGCCAAGTCATTTTATTCAATGGCTCCCTATTTCATTTTGAATTTAATTTTGATAAAAGGTGTGTGGTATAAAAAGAAGAGGAAAACAAACTGAGAGGGAAGCGTCTTCGTGACACCCTTTAGGTACCGTTCCCGTACCATTTGGTTTAACCACGCTTTCTACAAGCTAATGCATGTTCCTTCAATAGATTGAATGGTTACCGCATTCACTGTCATCAATATCTGTTGATTCTTAACGGGTGAAATGCAAACTCTGTGTGACAGTACTCAAAGATAAGTATGTCCCAACAAGTTTTCGTACCGGTCTGATGTTAAGTAGAGCTGAAAGCTACTCCACGGACTGAGGTAAAGCTGGGAGCGATCCTCAAAGTGTACCTGACACGGTGTATAAGAGGAATGTGTTATTGGCTGCTGTACAACACAAGTTCAAATAGAGTTGTATACGTTGTCAGTCTCAATGCAATAATCACTTGGCCCCGGGGCCCAAAGTGTCAGGGACTCCACCCAAATAACGTCACTCAAAGACCAAGATACGAACCAGGAAGAGGCTCAAAATGACCTCAAAGAAACACGACTAGAGAGAGACACAGAAGACAAGCGCTGTAAAACAGTTGCAAAGAGGCACAGAGGTCCCACAAAGAGACAGAAAAGGGGCGAAACAACCCAAATGAGACACAGAATGTCTCCAAATAGACACAAATCAATTACTACAAGAGAGTTAAACAACCACAAAGAGAAACCAAACCACACTGTGTTCTAGTTGCAAAGTTACACAAAACAACTGCTACAGGAAGTCTGTGGGTCTTCCCCTTTAGGAGAGGTGGAGCGGGAATTCGCATGTCTGTCAGTTTTGTGTTAAAGCATTTTAAAATGTGCAAATCAGCATTGAACGCAAACTAGAGCTGGGGCTGATGGGAATGTTGACCTTATGAAAGACCTCGATGGAAGCAAAATCAACAGGATTCATCCTCTCAGGACCGCGACTCTCTGTCCAAAGGCTCATGTCGATCCGTCCAACAATTATCGAGCTATTTCAGACTTTTGGCTGACAGACAGGCCGACGCGACTACGTCGCCCCGAGCCATTCTGCAGGCGAAGCTTTCAGTAAGAACAGAGAAGAGAACTCTGAAGCTCTGACTGCAAAGGCCTCCCTGGGCCGCAAGCTGCCATCTGTTTCCATCTATGAGCCTATTCTCACCTCCTCTTGGGAAGCAGAGCATCGCTTCCTCGTCCAGTGCGCCGTGGAACTTGCCCGTAGAGAGTCGATGATCTGCACTGTCAGACTGTCCACAGGATGATGAAGGTGGTGCTTTGACATGGAGAAGACACAGGTGCTGTGAGTAAAGGTTGTTCATGTGGATCTGAACACACATGGGGTCATCATTCCATGATGTGGCTCATCAGAGGTTTGGAACATGTCCATTCCTGCATCCCTCACGGCCCGGTCGCCGTGGCTACAGTAACTGCAACACAATCAAGATCAAAGTGAAAATATGGAAAGTTTTAGGGTGAAAACATGAAGAATGATATCAACGTTGCCCTGTTGACTGTATGGCAACCTGTCCAAAAGAAGTGTTGACATAGAGTCTTGACTTTAAGTGCCCGCGATGATCCAACATAATAGACCACAAAAGCCTGGCAAGAAAAACAAGCTCTCTCATCTCTCTTCAAGCCTTTACTTCGGGGGAAACATAGGATGATTAATTCAAATATGTGCTGTGTTTTCACAGGCAGATACAGACTAGTGGGTGCAGCTGTGCCTGCAGACAGTCCCTTGTGGGTAGCAATCAGTTACTGGATACACATCAGAGGTCTATTTTAAAAGAAACCTCGACTCACTTTGGCTGCACACACTCCTGTTTACAGATCACAGATTGTACATTATGCTTCAGACTGGAGGACACACATACACACATACTGCCTTACACTTGCACAAAAACTTCCCCTGCGTATTTGGTCTCCTCTGATACGGCAGCACCATCTAGTGTCAATTCTTCTCTGGGCCGACGATGCTTACGAAACACCATTCTGCATCATTGGCCCAGGGAAGAGTCCACCATACTGAAAACAGCTGTTTTCAATGAACCACTTGCGAAGAAAGACAATTTGAATAGGTTAACACAACTCATATAAGTGGTTCTCACTGTCAAGTCTGCAGCCTCAAAATGATCTTTCGCTTTTGATGGCGGCTGGCAAACTTCTTTTGGGTGCCGCCCCACACTAACCTTCTGGGAGATCCTCGGGAGAAAACAACATGCCGCGTTTGAGGAGCTACTCCAGTCCACCAAGGCTCAGTTTCATAAAAGGTCCTAGAATATTGTACATTAAAGCAGATCTAGATCATCTGTGGTGGGATTTGCTTTTTTTTGCTCTGCTTTGGACAAAAGCCTCCGCTGAATGAAATGGAATGTAGGCTATTGTCATGAAGGTGTTGAAGTAGTAGTATCAGTTGTGTTGAACTATTTAAATTGTTCTTGTTTGAGCAAATTAACCTAATCTGCAAGGGGGGTTGAATTATTTTGAGTGCAACTGTGTATAGAGATGTATACAGTGCTGTGAAAAAGTATTTTGCATATTTGTCACAGTTAAATGTTTCAGATCATCAAACTTATTTTGTGCATTATTATTTTATTATCTTATCTTATTATCTTATTTGATGCATTAGACAAAGTTAACCCGAGTAAATACAAAATTCAGTTCTTAAATGATTATTTCATTTATTAAGGTAAAAAAACTATCCAACCTACCTCGTCCTTGGTGAAAAGGGAATGGCCCCCTTAATAAAGCATGAGTTAAACTGTGATTGACCACATGAGTAACAATTTATAAGGCCTCGGGAATCAAATGAGCCACGAAGAAGTCTGAGGTCATGATTCAACAATAAGAATAAGACCGGGCGAACGTGGCATCCGTGTGATGGTCTGGGGCCGCTTCAGGACCTGGACCACTTGCCATAATTGATGGAACCCTGAGAACCATCTGCTCTCTACCGGAAAATCCTAAAGGAGAATATCCGGCCATGAGGTCAAGCTCAAGCTGAACAATAATCTGACCCCCCCACCCTCCAAGCAGGTCCAGCTCTGAAGGGCTCAGAAGAAGTTAGATAGAGGCTTTGGATTGGCCTAACCAAAATCCGGACTAAAATTGGATTGAGATTCTGTGACAGGATCTTAAACAAGCATTTTATGCTCAAACCATTTAATGTGGCTGAATTAAAACCATTCTGCAGAGAAGAGTGAGGTCAGAATTCCTCCAGTGATTGGAACAGACTCATGGCCGATTAAACCAAACACTTGATGGTAGATGGTAGTAATACAACCAGGTATTAGGGTTAGGAGGACATTACTTTTTTCACATAGGACCAGGAAGATTGGATAGCTCCCGGAATAACAGAAATCATCATTTAAAAAATGCATATAGTCTTTACTTAGGAGATCTTTGTCTAATATTAAAAGGTGTTTGATGATCTGAAGCATTTAAGTGGGATAAATATACAACACAATTAGTGAAACAGGAGGCTCCTCTCTTTCCTTTTTGCATTGCATTGTGGGACACTGCACAAGGGCTCCGAAGCGTCCTTTCTGTGGGTCTGCATACCTCCAGACTATATTGAGGGACATAGTTCATAGCAAATGTTGTCACGTACAAAACGTGGTTGCCCCTCTCAGCAAATAGAAAAATGTTGAAACCCAAGCTGCAACTACAAGCTTTTGTTAACCTACCACAGACTAGGTTTTATTTATAATGTTGCACCAAGCGATGGTGTACTGTCCACTGGGAATGTGGGGCGTGTCTAGGACAACCCTCTAAATTTGTCCCTATCTTTTTACAGTGTTGGGTTGATTGTACGAAGGAAATTTAACATTTACTCAACTACTGTACTTAAGTCCAATTAATAGGTATATTAATAGATACCAATTTTACTGCAATTCCAATTCCAATTCAGATGTATTATAAAAACTATAATCAACACATAAATGATCTATTATCTAGCTGTAGACATATAGATAAATATACAGACATGTATTCATAATTGATATATTGGTACGTGTATTTGCGTTTATTATATAATGTTATCTGAAACTAAACTATTCTATGTGAGAACTACTTATCAAATACTTGCGGCCCCACCTGGCAGGTACAGGATCCTGTATGAAGGCAAATCAACGTCAACCTTTTTGGCGCTCATATTTTCACTTTGACCCGCCTTCTGAACCCTGCCACTGAAGACTCGAGCCATCTAGGAACATACAGTTATATCATGTTCATAAAAACAAACGCTGTCATTTCATACTATCCAAAAATAGTTAAAGTGGGAAAATACAGGGATCCTATTCAAATGTATATTTTTAGTGAGCGGGGAACCGTTGAGTCATGGTGGTATGCCATTCATACCAATGGTATGCGTCAATGGAATTTAACATTTATTTACATTTATACATTTTAATCAGGGCTGTCAATAGCCTTGAATTTAAATTAACTAATTAATTGCACATTTTGAAATTCCTTCATCTTGATTAATGGCGATTAATGAATTTTGTTGTTGTTACAATGTTGTTTGTAATTAATGGTCGTTTTTCTTATTTCTTAGAAAGTGTGTGTTTTAGACACTGTTTAATTGTTAGTGTTATTTTAAACACAACTACACACATTTAATCATCTTGGAGACAGAATTCCACCTGGTGGAACACGTTGAACTAGCGACTCTTCCTGCTGTCCTCGTGCACTTTGCTCTCAACTCTCCATCATTTAACGGCTGTGTTTGAAGAGCCAACAATCTTCCCACATTTAGCCAGAACGTTTTCAAATCACGCTCTTCTGTAGACTGTGTGCCGCGCAGGGTAACGTTAGATGAGATGGAAGTAGCATAGCAGCTAGCTTAGCCTAGCAGCTAGCTTAACATAGCAGTGCTTTAAGTGGTCCGTTTGCCACTCACCCCCCTTCGGTTTGACACGTGGAGTAATTCATCTGCACAGTTCTCTGCTGTATGTCGCACCACTGTTTTACTTCCTATGCAAAAAGCTCTTTTCATTTTGATGTAACTGACTGCAGCTAGCGGCCGTTTCGTTTCCACGCTCAACTTCCGGTTTACTTCCGGTCCCTAAGTAAACCGGAAGTAAACGAACGAACGTTAACTACGTTAAAATATTTGGTTGCATTAATCTAGGCTACATTAATCGCATAGATCAGGGATTCCCAAAGTGTAGTGCGGGCCTGAGCGGCCTCTACGGGGTGCGCGAGAGGAAACATGTAATGGTGGTCAAATGGAGTAATAATTCATATTAAATAGAATTTGTAAAAAATCAATAAGGTTTTTACACAAAATAGAGACATGACTTTTAAAACTACTAAAAATGTACAATTTAATAAATAAATACACTTCAGCTTCTCCTTTTACATACACACTAGCTAACGTTATCCTAGTTTATGCAGCTAACGCCAGCTAACAGCTAACTTTTGGCTTGACTGACTTGAAATCGGAAAACTGTCAGGTGGACATTTGACGCTATCAGTCAGAGAGGAGAGGGACAGAGAGAGAGGGAGGAATCTAAGGCGATAGAAACAGAGAGTCAATACTCACGTCTCTCACTCGCTACCTCTGTTACCTCTCGCTCTTTCGCTGCAGCCCCCTGCGCTGCGTGGGAAATCCTCAGATGGACTCGTCCCTTATTATTCATATTAGTTTCTGAGACTATGCATGAGCCACTATTTTTTAAGTCATTTCAAATTCTTAATTTTACATTTTGAATTTTAAATAATTTAGCCGCTATGTATGGTTAATTGTAAATGGAATATGATGCAATCTGCCTCAGAGTCTGTGTGTGTGTCCTTGTTCTTCTTATTGCTCCTTTAAAGTGATGTAAATGGCATTTATTGACATTTTGTTTGCAGTGTTTCAGGGTATTTATTTTGTTTTTTTCGTTTGTCCTGATTTGGAATTAATATGATACAATGTTGTAGTTGCCCCTGTGTTCGGTCCTTGTTCACACTGGAACATTTAACAGCAAACTAAATATTATAAACAAACACCACCCGTTAGCAAACTATTCTCTCATTGGTCCAATTTTAATGCAGCTGTAAATAGACCTTTGTAGTGTGGGGGTTCATGAACCCAGTTGCGATGTAGAAGGGGTACGCGGCCTAAAAGGTTTGGGAGCCGCTGGCATAGATTAATGCGTTAATGTTGACAGCTATTGAAGGTGCTGTGCAGTAATCACTGCACACCACCTTCAATAGCTGTTCAGTCAGTGCAGAAACAATGTTTTAAGCGACACTACTGAGAGGCTGGGGGTCAACTGACACCTCTTAAAATAAGATAAAGATGAGAATGATGTAAACACAGGCAGAGTCGTCCAGCTCGGAACATGGAACCACTTGCAGACAACGATTTCGCCGGGGAATGAGGGCACCGTGAGTGACCGGAGGGGCTTCAGACAAGAACAGCAAATGTCAGCGAGGCCGCAGATAACTTAACTCCTATTAACATGAAACTTCCCACAAATATTCCAAAATCACTTGTTCCCATGCAGATTCCGCATTAAAGGATTGGCTGGGTGAAATAATATATTACACATCTGTTATGTGTAACTTCTAGTGTGGAGTGTCATTCAGCAGTCACATTTGCTGTCAAACAGTGCAGCTCTGGAGGGCAGAATGTCAGCTGGTCGCACTGCCCATCTGCGCATGCTCAGTCTAGCCGCTCACGTAGCACGCACGCGCAGTTCCCCTCATCGGCCGTACATTATAAAGCCGCAAGTCTCTCCGTCTCTTTCCACCTTCAGCCATTTTGACAATGTTGGGAGCTGTGGGACGCTGCTGCACCGGAGCACTGCAGGCGCTCAAGCCTGGGGTCCAGCCCCTCAAGGCTCTCGTTGGATCCCCCGCGGTCCTCTCACGTAAGTTCTGCATTCTCGGTGCTTTTCAGAGAAATCGTAGGGAATAGAAACGGGCGTCTCCGCGGCTGTCAGAGAAGGGCATGGCTACCGTTAGCTTGTTGCTAGCTACACGCCAGCAGGCCCGAACACTAACGTGTCTAATTCCAAGTCCGCTCGAGTAATTGAAACCGATTAAATGTCTACACGTGTGCGCATATGCTCTTATTGACCGCTGTCACGGGTCAGAAAACGACTACGCTGTGTTTTACTTGTGCTAGCATCAATGACCTTTGTGTAATGACATGAGGCGCTGTGCAGAGCATGCTAAGCTAACGTTACTAGTGGAGTTTATAGCTACGTCTGCATAATGGATTAGCAAAAGCATAAAGTCGTCTGCAACCTTTAGCCGCTTTCAGTTTAGCTAACGTTATAAACATAATTTAAATATGACTCTTGTACGATGCATTAATACGCTTGCCTTTAATAACCTGCGTATGTCATTAGCAGTGACGTTAGCAATGTTAGCCCGAGTTGTACTTCATTCATTTGTCGCTTTAACAGTGTTTAATGGTAAAATGTCTTCTCATGTCTATAGTCTACTTTTATTCTCCCCGTGCACACGTATTGACTGCTCAACGGATGTGGACGGGAGCATTTCATTTGTGTTTTAAAGCTAATTCCCCGTTTGGCCGACAACAATCGCTTGACATTGAGACGCGGCGGCCGCACACGAAGTTTCTGTTCGGTGCTTTTCGGGCCGACGGAGTGATGCGTTCAAGACCCACGAGTACCGCTGGCACCGCAAGGTCATGGCTGCAGCCCGTCTGTAAGCTACCGGGCTAACTGCGCACCCCGTCTGCATGACTCACCAGGCAGGGAATATGTCGCACCTGCCGCCGCGGTCACCGTCGCCGCCGGGCGCATTGTGGCCGTCATCGGCGCCGTCGTCGACGTCCAGTTCGATGAGGACCTTCCTCCCATCCTGAACGCCCTGGAGGTCGCCGGCCGCGAGTCCAGGCTAGTCCTGGAGGTGGCACAGCATCTGGGTGAGTAGCTGCTAAGTATAACCTTCAGTCCTGTGTGGAACAACATTACATCCATACAGCAGGAAATCAATTCCTCATGTTGTTTTGCAGGGGAGAACACGGTGCGTACCATTGCTATGGATGGTACCGAGGGTCTGGTCCGTGGACAGAAAGTTCTGGACACCGGTGCTCCCATCAGAATCCCAGTGGGTCCCGAGACTCTGGGCAGGATTATGAATGTCATCGGGGAGCCCATCGACGAGAGGGGTCCCATCTCCACCAAGCAGTGAGTTCCACTTGGAAAAAATCAATGTTAAAATATTTAAATCCCTGCAAACAAAATATTTTAGAAAGTGACAACATTAATGTGCAGTTTTGTCAGCCAGTAATGTTTATTTAAAAAAATCTTTAATTCTGAAAATTAGTTTTTTAAGCTTTATCAAATCAAAATTGCACCCCCCCCCCCCCCCCCCCCCCCCCCACAGCACTGCACCTATCCACGCTGAGGCCCCTGAGTTCACTGACATGAGTGTGGAGCAGGAAATTCTGGTAACTGGCATTAAGGTGGTGGACCTGTTGGCCCCCTACGCCAAGGGAGGAAAGATCGGTATGTGCTAAAACACAACAATCATGGCATAACAGACAGGATAGACGATGCCTTGTACGCGCTAATCTCTGGAACAAATGACTAATCTGAAACGCATTCTTTTAATCCTCGTGGCCACAGGTCTGTTTGGTGGTGCTGGTGTGGGCAAGACTGTGTTGATTATGGAGCTGATCAACAACGTGGCCAAGGCCCATGGTGGTTACTCTGTGTTTGCCGGCGTGGGAGAGCGTACCCGCGAGGGAAACGACTTGTACCATGAAATGATTGAGTCCGGTGTCATCAACCTGAAGGACGACACCTCCAAGGTGGCGGATCGTTTCATTACAAAGTTACTGTTGCCACGTCACGCTTGCAAACGTCCCTCTAACCCCGACCGTTGTTCCTGTTAGGTGGCGCTGGTTTACGGACAGATGAACGAGCCCCCCGGCGCCCGCGCCAGAGTGGCTCTGACTGGACTGAGCGTGGCGGAGTACTTCCGTGACCAGGAGGGACAGGACGTGCTGCTCTTCATCGACAACATCTTCCGCTTCACACAGGCCGGCTCTGAGGTCCGTCGGAAGCACAGATTAAACAACCGATGCATTGTGTTTTTTTTTTTTAGTGCGTCCACAGCTGCAAATGCTGACTGGCGTCCGCTGTAGTGACAAGTCCTCTTCCTCCTCAGGTGTCCGCCCTGCTGGGGCGTATCCCCTCTGCTGTGGGTTACCAGCCCACTCTGGCCACTGACATGGGTACCATGCAGGAGAGAATCACCACCACCAAGAAAGGCTCCATCACATCTGTGCAGGTAAAAACTCATTTCGGTGAGGCTAACTGACTGGAGCCGTGTCAGATGTTTGCCCGCCATTGTATTAAAGACTCTTTTCGGTCCACCAGGCCATCTACGTGCCCGCTGACGATCTGACTGACCCCGCCCCAGCCACCACCTTCGCTCACTTGGATGCCACCACTGTGTTGTCCCGCGCAATCGCTGAGCTGGGTATCTACCCCGCCGTCGACCCCCTGGACTCTACCTCCCGTATCATGGACCCCAACATCGTCGGTACCGAGCACTATGAAATTGCCCGTGGCGTGCAGAAAATCCTTCAGGTTTGGGACTTGTCTATAACAACCTTTTCTTAATCTGTATTAGGATTTGTATTTATGAGACTTAACGATTTTACCTTCCCACCCCGTAGGACTACAAATCCCTGCAGGATATCATTGCCATCCTGGGTATGGATGAGTTGTCTGAGGAGGACAAACTGACCGTGGCGCGCGCCCGCAAGATCCAGCGTTTCCTGTCCCAGCCCTTCCAGGTGGCCGAGGTCTTCACCGGCCACATGGGAAAGTTGGTGCCCCTCAAGGAAACTATCAAGGGCTTCAAGGACATCCTTGACGGTAAGTGTGTTAGGTGTTCTATACACCTTTTGCAGACGTGTACCCCTCAACAAGTACTAACGTTTGTTTCCCTGCAGGCGTGTACGACAGTCTGCCCGAGCAGGCCTTCTACATGGTTGGCCCCATCGAGGAGGTGGTTCTGAAGGCGGAGAAGCTGGCTGAGGAGCACTCATAAACATGTAAACAATCGGTTAAGGCGAAAATAAAAACAAAAGGAGAGGGCTTCTGTGTTTAGGAGCATTTGGTTTGTAAAACATGTTAATGTACTCGTCTGGTCATCCTGAAGAAAGTTCTATTTAATGTTTCCAATGGAAGATGGAATAAAATGCTGTCTTTACATAAAGCTACTTGTCAACTGTATATTTCTCATGATTTAGTTGTAAAATCTTGTTTGTAATGAGTTTCCTAACGGGGCTTTCATCCACTGACCATTAGATGGCAGCGTTACGATACTAAAGACATAAACTCTTGCAGCTTGTCACATTCTGAAATAAAGGTGAATGAACCATTGGATGAGTGATTGTTTTAACTTGAGGGAAAGACTCTTCCAGCTGATTTGAGTCTCCAGAAAGTGGACAGGAGGTTTACGCCAATCGCTTGTAGCAATTACAAGATGGAAAAAGGTGCCAGCTGCAGGAATTCACTCATATCTATGGATGGAAAGTTACCCTCATGCTGCATTAGTTTAAAATAGACTAGCACGGTCAGTTGATATTTGTACAATTAACCGATCAAAGCGAGCTCAGACCTGTAATATCTTAATGTTGTGTTAAATACAGAACTTGGTTGCTCATTAATTTGTTTAAGCAATTGGCTATTGCAGCACTCCAGGTTTTACTGTTTTGCAAACACTGGTGAGATTTGACTGATTTCTAAGACTGTAGCTGCTGAAATCAAACCCTGCTTTTGTTCATTGACACAAAGCAAAGGACTTCCTGGTCTAATGCTTATATTTGAAGCTGTTTTTCAATTGGAACAAACAAGCATAGTATTAAGTGTTTATTACATTACAGGTCATTTAGCTGATGCATTTTTAACCCATGGTTATTTACATTTTGCCCAGGGAGCAATTAGAGGTTCGGTGTCTTGCTCAGGGACACTTTGAACTGGAGCAGCTGGGGCTCGAACCGCCAAACTAGGTTCCCAGCGCCATGTTGACCTCAAGCCTGAATATGGATGTTTCTTTTATTGCCCCTCCGTGACCTTTCAAAGCTATTGAGCTGTAGATACGGTGGCCTTGAATAAGTATAGTCTTTCATATGCAATCAGAAGAGATACAAAGGCCAACTTAATTGCCCTGTTCATGATGGTTATTCTAGTCATAAGAATAAAGCTTTTATCAGGATCAGTTTTACACTGGTAATCTTGTATTGCTGAATACACATTGATGTAAAAAATGAAAAAGCCCAATTCATTTCTTGGCGATTGGAACAGCTTGACTTCCCAGGATATAATCTGAGACGCAGGTTGGCATGTACGACAGCGGCAGCCAGAACAGCTTGGCGTCCCAGCCGGGGGAGTAGCGGGTGCGGGGCTGGACGGCAGACACGGCGTGCTCCATGCAGCCGACCACCTTCATCAGATCCCCATCACTGATCTTGGCTACCTTGTCTTTTATTACGCCCAACGCTGGGAGGGAAAACGAGCAGAATGAGGGATTAAATAGATGAATTACACAGAAACATACACTGAATAAATGTAAAAGGTGACTTTTGAATTTACACTTTTGTAGATATTCAATTCCGTAGTCGTCCTTCACGTCCTGTGGCAGTCTGTCCCACACCGCAGTCACGTTTTTGGTCAGGATAGTGGCGTCAGTCACGTTTGTTTTGAAGAAGCCCGGCTCTATGCACAGGACTTTGACACCAAAAGGCGCCATATTCAGCCTGAACAAAATACGCAGTTTTATCAGTGCTCCCTTGCAGAAGAATGCAATGGGCTCCGCGAGTTAATGTTTTACCTGAGGCTATCATTGAAGGCCTCCACGCCGTACTTGGAGACCGTGTACGGTCCCCCTGTAGGACTGATCCTTCCGAACACGCTTGCTACGTTGACCACCCGTCCCCTGGCCTTCTTGATTAGCGGCAGGACGCTCAGCGTCACCGCGATCACCCCGTTGAGGTTGACGTCCAGCATGGACTTGTAGTCGTCGATGGTCAGCCAATCACAGGGGGCCGAGGGGACGGACACGCCGGCGTTGTTCACCACAGCCCATAAGCCTGGGAGGACCACACACAGGCCATCCAGTCAAAAAAAGACCTTCAAAACACTCACATTTGACCCCATGAAGCTCATTCATAAAGAACAGTCCTCTTAAGAGACAACAATGAGTACGATTCACATGAGGGGAATGAGTTGGCCAAAAATGACCTCACGATGAGGGTGAACCTCACCGTGCTCCCCCACTTTCTCCTTGATCAGCGCCGCAACTTTGGCAACGCTGTCCTTGGAGCGCACGTCCAGGTGTGTTGTGATCAGGCTGCCGGAGCAGGACTTCTTCAGGTCTTCTTCTCCCCTCTCGCTGAAACACGAGGCGATCACCTTGAACCCCTTCTTGTCCAGATGGCGGGCCGCGAGGTTTCCGAAGCCGGTGTCACAGCCGGTGATGTACACATACTTGGTGCCCCTGTCAGGGACGCGGGGCAGCTCCCTACACCAGCGGTACAGCTTGTAGAGAACCAGCAGCCCCAGGAGATACAGGTACATGGCTGGGAAAATAAATAAATATAAAGTACTGCTCGTCCGTTCAGAGGTACTTAACACAAAACATGGCATATGACAACACTGTAGTTATTCTACATTCCAAAATCGGTTTAAAATGCAATGTAGATTAAAGCAATGGACATTTACAATGAATAACGGTAAAATGACTGTCAACAGTCCAGTAATAACTAAGTATTTAATATCGTATTGAAACACTTCATTACACGAACACTGGTGTAATAAACTGTTACATAACGTTATCTAAATAAAGATAGATGAGCGTCAGCTACAGTTGACCGTCCTTCCTTTCAATGTCCAACTTTAAAAGAGCAGATAACGTTAAGCGGACAGAGGACGGACTCGGGTCCAACAGCTTAATGTTGTTCATCCTCAAACGGACTTCAACACGACCGAGTGCGGTTCAAAAAGTCAAATCACAACTTAAACCCATGTGTCGCAGAACAAAACGTCCTCTCTCCTCTCAGATATCATTTCCTGGAGACGCCAGAACGAAACGGAACCAGAGACGCACTAACGGGCTGAGAGCGAGCGGATGACCGAGAAAAGCCCGCTGGCTGTCTCCTCAGCCGGGACGCGAAGGCGTGAAAAGCAGTCAGACTACAGGCCGGACTCCTTACCTGCGGCGTGGGGGTCTTCATATCCGTCAGCAGGGGGGGTTCCACGCTTATGAAGTCCGGCTGAGACGCAGGTCCCGCCTCCCAACCGTGGACCAATAGGGGATCTCCGACTCCTCCTGCGTCAGCACGCTGACTCCACCCATCGGCCCGACGCGGATGAATCAGATTCAGCACGAGTAGCCTTTTGCTCCGAGTTTCCACCGGTGAAGACGTGAGAAAAGTTCCGTCCAACTCAGCGACGAAATGGCGCGAGTGCAAATTTCATTGAGAGCATTTCGCCGCCTCACATCACGTCATCATGACTACGTAAACGAAATATGACGTACAATTGAGGGTATTGGAACGTCTTCCAAACTCTGTCATAAGAATAGGTCACTTCAGAAGAATGATTCGTTTTTGGTCCAAACTGCTTCAATTATAGATGAAGAAATGAGTAAATATCGATTCCCTGACAAGAGCAGCAGAGGAGCTGCAGGGGGCAGGAAGAGAAATTGATTTTTTTTAAAACATACATTCCAGCTAAGACCTTTGATATTTGTGTACGTATTATGCAAACAAAAATCTGAGAATGAAACTAGAATTTTTGGTTGCAAAAAACGTTTGCAAACTGCAACAATGTTCCACCTCAGTAGGACAGAAAGCATCCGCTTTCACATAGAGGCACGTGGTGTTCTGGGACATCCAATTAAAAAAAATAAGGCTTTGGGAACAAAAACATTTGCAATCTGAGTTTATGGGCTTGTTTCTCTCTGGCCGAGGTAGAATTGTTGATTAATCAGCTTTGGAGGATTGGAGGAATACAAGTAGCTTACTGTGTCTACTACACATTTAGCACAATAACAGAAATGCAATTAAACGTGAAGCATTCATTCATTTGCTTTATCACTCTAACCCAAACTGTCATAATTAATGTATTTGGGCCATGGCAGACCCTGCAGGCAGAATACCATGAGGAACCTGGCGGTGCTGATCCACTGGTCAGCTGAAGGTCTTACTGCCATGCAGTCTGTCGGGGGAGAATTCGTTGAGCTGGATCTTGTGAGTGTCTCAAGAACTCTGTGTGTGTGTGACCTTTCTTGGGAAACTCGTGACCTGACCTAGTTCACGAGGGCATCCTGTTTGGAAGTTAGGTGCCTGGACTGACCCGTATCCTGTTCTTCTCTACTTCCATCCATTTAGTCTGTCAAATATGATTGACTAGGTCCCATTAAGAGAGGGTCACGGGTTTTCCGCCCAACGACGTCTGTTTACAACTAATCTCACCTTGTAGGGGGGGCAGGGGGGTCTGCCGTTTTCCTCGAACCTTCAGAGACGTATAAAAGCTCCGGTTCTCCCCCAGAAACTGGGTCAGATCTTCTAGCTCCTCTTGGGAGAAAGAACCATCTGCCCCTTTTCAGCTGAATTGTAGTCATTTGACTTCGGTCTGTACGGCTTGTGTTGATGATTTCTATATTCTTTATCATTTTTCTATATTCTAGTTAGTAATAAATACTTAATCACAAAACAAGCTCAAGATACTTTTGATTCCTCACAAGGGCTAAAATCAACAAATTTCCACCACACATTCAATTCCTCTTCCTACACGCATGTCCTTCAACTGGCTTCATTTTTTGGATGCTTAATGCAAATCTCATGCGTGCACTTTTAAATAATAAAACACGGTAAATAGATAGCTGTGTGTTTATTTTTCTCACTCACTTTATAACAAGGTGTAATATACATTTTGTTTCACTAAAGAGAACAACAAACATATACACACTATAACAAAGAAGCATGCTCTTGCCAACAACCATTTTACACATTTATCACACTCCTATCGATTCCTGCAAAATACTTAATGTCAGCGTTTAAAAGATTCATAATCTCCAATCATCTCTTGGATGATTGAGGCTACAGTCAAAGCCTCTTTTGCATCGTCCCCTTCAGGTTGTGCATCTTGAGGTGAAATACATAGAGACCAAAATAAACATCTCCCGGTCATTTTATATGCAAACAGTTAAATAAAAGGCACAATTACATGACAGTTGCATAATTGCACTGCTGCCAACAAGGTAAAAACCAGAATGATGAGCCCACATGCACGTAGAAAGTGGCGCTTCATGTCAACACAGCAGCCGCCCCCCCCATGTCGTTCTTTAATAAAGACCGTGCAACACAAACACAACAAATAAATGATTTGCTGCTGCATTTAATATAAATTAGAGAAACTACAAAGCCAACTTCCCCCTCGTCAGTGTTTAAACACTGAGCGCCTTGTCAAACCGCCAATAGAAACTCCTGGTTCATTACGCACACGTTTTTGTTAGAAGACCAAAGCCTTTTTTTTTTTTAAACCAACGCATCTTGATTATCAGAGGACCCAGAACCCCTTGTGCCTCCATGTGAAAGAGCACCGACTTTCTGTCGGACGAAAGTGGACCATTGATGCGGTTTTTCCAACAGAGAAAGTTTTTTTTGTTCTTGAGAGCAACATTTTTTGTTTTGCAGCCAAAAATTCTAGTTTCATACGAAAAACTAAACAGATAATATATTCTCAGTTCATACATTTTTACATACAAACTTGAATTTTTGTTTGCGATGCAAGATATTTGCTCTCAAGAGCAAATATAGATTCATACTTGGACATCGGAAAGGAGTGAAATCTGCTTGGAACAACGACAGCAGCGAGGTGGAATATGGGGGGGAGGCCATGGGGCCCCACTGTCTACATTAGGACACACACACACTTTTTCAGTAAGAGTTTTTTTTCCAACAGGGTAATTTATTTTATTTTCTAAATCAGTATTTGCTGTTTTCGATTGACATTACGTGATCCCTGGATCAACTGAATTCAAAAGCTTGGGTGCTTTAACTTTTTTCTAAAGCTTTCCATTATTGTATAACGTTAATTATTTTACAACTAGAGTCCATTTTTAACGTTAATATTGCTATTCATCTAGCGGTAGGTTGATATTATCCAATGACTCTTCACTCAGACGAGTAAAGAGTCTGGTGTTGACTAAACTCAACTATTAAGACGTTGTTCCGAACCTTTAGTGTACAGACATCATGCTAACTGGACCCTTGAATTGTACCGTGGCTAATGTGTGTAGCATGGTGCTAGCATGGTGCTAACAAACAGCCGTTAGCTCAGTACTTACACGTCCGGGAGGCGAGGAACACCGTTTTAGTCCCATTGACATCGTGTCTCTGTCCACTTGATGACTTTTAGCTCGATATTCACCTTTTTAAACGCCCATCCAGGTGTTCAGCTCGTTCTCCGGCAGCGAGCCGACAGGTGAAGCGAGTTAGCGCGAGCGGTTAACGTTAATTAATTAATTAGCAGTGCTACTAGCGGAGCGATGAGCACCTGTTCACCTGGTTACCTGCGAGCTGACGTCAACGCAGAACCACCTCCACTCCACCTACGAAGGTTTTTTTGTGCCTTGTTTATCGTTCTATGTCAAATAAAACCACTGCCTACCAGTAATGTAGTTTCATGTATTTCTTTAACGGGACTTTTCCCGCAGCTGCTGACCCTTTGAAGGGTCATCTGAGGTGTGTTTCTATCTTCGCCACAAGGGGGCAGCAGCGCTATTTGCTCATTTCCCCGTTGAGCGACTTCATGTCCTCTTATTTCTATTAGCAAAGTAGTGATTACAAATGTCTTGCTCAGCTTGTGTGTTAATTCTATATCAATGTTTTTGTAATAAATAGGTCATAGAAATATGAGATGGTTGTTATTTACACAGTGCTGCTAGACCAAATAATAATTTTCACTCAGTTGTTAATGGAGCTTTCCCAACCTGTAAATGTCACAGTAATCCAGAGAAGCATGGGAAATTGCAACCTTTTAGAAATGCAATCAACACTTATTTTTTGGATTGTTTGTGTGTATCAGATTGGTACAATATTTCTGATGGTACTGGAGTCAGTGCAGTTTCATCTAGGTTGGCTTTACACGACGCCCACGCACGGCACACATGAACAATTCACTTTATTCATGTAAAAAACACTGGAAAAACAAAAGAAAATGTTTGTTTATTGTATGTTTACCACATCTGGTGTTTTTATTCCTTTCATAATACAGTTATCAACCTTATCCTGGACTCTTCAGATTATGAAAACCGAAGGATACGATTATGGTTCAGCATAAATCATGTCCCTGGATTTCTGAAACGTACAGTGGGTACGGAAAGTATTCAGACCCCTGTACATTTTTCACTCTTGATCTGTGCCTTGCCACACTCCTGTCTCTGAGCTCCTTGGGCAGTTCCTTCGACCTCATGATTCTCATTTGCTCTGACATCCACTGTGAGCTGTGAGGTCTCATATAGACCTTATGTAGGTGAGTGCCGTTCCTACTCAAGTCCAATCAGTTTATTTAAACACAGCAGGACTCCATTGAAGGAGTAGAACCATCTCAAGGAGAACAAATGGACAGCATGTGAGTGTCTGAATACTGCAATGAAACAGAGTGAAACATTTAAAGGGTTCTGAATAGTTTCTGTACCCACTGTATAATGGACACATGTTGATCATTTTTGTCTTTGCAGTTTCCTGACGGCACTTGAAGGCAGCAGTGAATGACCTTCAGTACATGCCAGTGAGCAATACAGCTGTTTGTGTTAGCCTGCTGGGACAGTACGGTGCCATTAAGTCCCATTCCACACAAAAAAAAATCGCAAGGAGGATTTTACATTCTCATACACAATTAAAGGTCCTGATTTAAAGATGCAAATTAAGCATTTCTTCTAAAAAATGATTGAAACCGGAAATTTAGGCCCAATGAAACGAACCTACAGCAGCAGCAGTAAACGGCATATGTAGATTCCTCTTGCTGTTGCATTCAAGGTGAAGAAAGATGACACAGGTATTAATAAAAATGAAGCTCCTGAGGAGGTCGAGCTGGGAAAGGGCAACGACCTACATGTCGACGCACAGCGACATCTGAACACAACACGTGCAGCTACGGCGTAGCGAGGGGATGTTTTGGGTGCAAACACAATTTACCAGTAGTAAAAGCGGGCAAGAGTCACACGGTGGGCAGAAGATGTGTCAGGATCCGCGCATTCATGGCCCCACAAAAACCACACAAACTGGAGAATTACTTTTGATTTCCTTCATTCACATGCGTTCAAACGTACAGGAGTCGTTGCAATGCATCTGGACAGATATTGGGCCACTAGTGCCCGGTAGGTGAACTGGCACCTCGCCACAGGACTCAAGTTGCACAACCTATGCAAACCCCCCCACACTGTGCACTGAGCTACTGCTGCCCTATTAACAAATTC